GAAGAAAAACATTCAAAACCCTCGTATGCATGCTTCTTTATACACTATGAATTAAATAACTCACCCTAGAGTATGATCCATCAAATATTTGGGTTTAAAGCAACAATTTGTCACAAATTATGAGTTAATGTCTGCAATTGCAGACCTATGTCTGCTGTTAAATATTACATGCATCCTTGAAGTTACACTTGAAGTTACACACACACAACCACATGTACACAGATGCACACACTTGTGGCACTGTGCATCGCTGACAGCTGACTGATGTTGGCCTCATGAAGAGCAGTGATCTGCTTTAATTATACATGATGTGTCACAGAGACGGGGAGGCAAGAACTAGTTAAAAAGCTAAAAACGGAGGAAGAACAAGGAAACGTAGAGTTGGTAATGGAGCAAGTGAGGTGACGATGGTAGGATGAGTAGAGACAGAGCAAAGGATGACTGGGAGGAGAGCTGAAAGCAGAGGAGGTCAAAGTGAATCGATCCTGACGTGAGTCTCCTGCAACGGGTCGTATTCAACGTCACCACAGACCATGTGGGCAGCAGACAGGACACAGTCCGCCCTGCGGGGCTGTGCATAAACACACACACACAATTCTGCCTTCAGACTTACATGCTGTTGTCGAGCTACTACTAGTGTGACAAAAGCAAAGTAAAAGCAAAAGTACATAGAGTCCAGCTTTGCTATCAGGGTTTGTGACCCAGATTTTACATTTTTTCAAAGATAAAACCATTTTCCAGTTATAGAGTTAGAACTGGAGGAGGATTATTTTTTATTTATTTATAATTTTCCAACATCAAAGTGTTATAAAAACAGAGGATCCCCCTTCCATCCTTTTTAGTATTTTATGATAGCTATTAAAAGCTACAGCCTATAAAAGTAATTCTCTTGAGCTCAATCACATGGAACTGTTTTTTAAACAAGATTCAGAAAAATAACGTTTTTCTGCAGAAAAAAAAATAAACGATTCGCTGATGGAGAAAACTTTGTCCTCTTGTGGTCATAATTGTGTCACTTTCCCGTTTTCACTTCAGTATGTTTGCAGATGCTTTACAACTCCGCACAGTGTTTCAGTTGGTATTGGCCAATAAAAATATTTTATTTCTGGATTCGTTATTGTTCTCTTGCTGAATCATTCACCTCAACAGCAAGGTTCGTTCACTTTCAGTATTTTACTGGGGGGGGGGGGGGGGGGGGTAAATTAAAAACAACTTCAGATTGTTTTCTTTGTTTTAATACAATCAATATAAAACAAAGCTGGAGCCTGAGGACAGTGTATCCAAAATAGTACAAGTACAACACCTGAAGTGTACTTGAAAATTTGAAAAATAAATAAATAAATAAATAAACATTCCTTAGTGATTCAAAGAGCTTACAGGTCACATGGCTAGATCAGTTTCATGCAGCACTTAAAAGTATATTTGACTCATTTTACTTTACGTCTTTTAGCTTTCACCAACACATCAATATCAGAAGTCACATCCTGAGTGGCGGCCAACTTCAGGATGTGATTCAAGTTCTTGTGTGAGCCTTGAGCGCAGCTTTGTTTTATTTATACTCATTACAGAGAAAACTTGCTCACAAAGATAAGTTTATTTTCACTCTACATTGTAAAGTATGAAAATAAAGTTTACACAACCATCTCGCGGGCCGGATTTAACCCGTTTGCGGGCCGGATGCGGCCCGCGGGCCGCATGTTTGACACCCCTGATTTAGAGTCTTATTTCCTGAGATTTGGACATCTCACCTCAGATTGGATAGCAGCAACGCAGCTCTTCCACTGACTTCATTTGCACTGCAAAAGCGATGTTTTATCTCCACAAATAACACAATCATGGAGGACTTCTGCTGTGTGGTAGAGTTGCTAATGCTAACGGTTAGCTTCTACCAGTTGAGACGTTTGTTTGTTTGTTTATTCACTTAGCAGACGCTTTTATACAAAGCGACTTACAATTTCTAACCTGTAGGGCATGAGACGTTCTCTGCTGTTTGCTGGACGCTAAAACAACAGCCTTCTCTGTCATGAGCCAAAACGGGTGAGTCCATGAATGTTAAGGTGTGACGTAGATCTGTCAGGCTTTTTGAAATCCTATTCTCCTAAGTCCCATTTTCTATGAAGCTAAAACAGGAGGCTACTTTCATTTTTGGTCTGCAAAACTCAGAGTAACTGGTTATAATCTGAAATAATAATTTAAAAAAAAATTTTTTCAGTGTTTCATATCTGGAAGTCAATTACCAGATGTTTTATCTGGTAAATTTCCCAAACTATAATACTTTCATTACTGTGCTTCACAACTAGTCTGCATTTAGAAGCATAGCCTCAGATGCTTTTGATGAAATAAACGAGTCCCTCTGAGAATTTGTCAAATGAAATTTTACTCATTTGATCTACTGTGTGAAACAAGCATTTATATTGTACGCTGCATCTTCTTAAAGCCATTGCAAGAATCATCAGACTTTTAATCACTATTTTTAACCCTCTGGAGGCAGGCGGCGCAGATTTGCAACGTTAAAACCTACCTACCTGGTTAGTCCACATACATATTTCATGAGCATTTTTTAACTCAGAAGTACCCCTGAAGGACTTAGTTATTCGTCGGTTTATCAAAGCTTATTTTGAGCCTGAGAGGGTTCAACTCTTCAGATTACAACTTGCGAACACCACATCTCATCTGGAACATCTGTATTTTAACAATGCAAAAGCATGAAAAATACACAAATTAAACTGATCTTTAGCTTAAAATATTGGATTACTTGCTTAATAAATACATTTGCAGTGATCTCTAGTAGGAATGAATGTAAGTCGTTCTCAGGGGGGAAAATATACCGATGCACCATTTCTCAGACCTACATGTTGCAATCCCCCTCCCCTCCCCCTTCTTCTTGGGGGCACCACTGTTTTGAAGAAATGTGCGGTGTATTTTAGATGCAAGCAAGTTATGAGTTATGTCGCATATCAAAGTGCAAAACTTATTTATCATATATTTATTTTATAAGTTGCCTTGTTGCCTGCATATTTGGAATTTTAAAACCTCTTCTTCCTTCATTATTTATTTATTAAATAATTGATCAATTTGAAGTCCAGCCATATGGAATTTTATTTTTTACGTAAAATTTTTGCAGTCTGTTATTTTTTTTTACATAACTTTTAAGCCATCCAGGCTATAATCATACTACTGCTTTATTTTAAATCAGCCACTAAAAATCTAGGGAAAGTTTGAGGAAATGAGGGCAAACAGATTATCATAAAATTTTAAATCCAGTTAAGCTTTATTCTTATGATTGATCCAGTGAGTTCACTGGTAGTTACCGGTGACCCAGATCTGCAACAGAAAGGAAAACAGAACAGATCAAACAAGTCAGAGAGATGATGGGAATTATGAAAGGGGAAAAAAGAAAATGAATAAAGTTAGAGTTAGAATCAATGGAAAGAGGAGAAGTGGTGTTGTTGAGCTGCAGGAGTGTAGCATGAGAAGCACAAGGATGTCATAAAATATGCAGAAAGGAGCAGCTTAGCACCGGAACACAAAGCCATTAAAGAAAGTCGAGGAAAATGCAGTCAAACAGAAACATAAATGTCCAATTCCTTGTAATTCAGGCGCTTGCTTAAAAGCACCAACACTCTTCCACCTCTTGCATTTTAGCATCTCCTGGTGAAAATCCACACTTGAATGTGTTCTGACGCGTGCAGCCGCTTTAATACACTTGTGTTTTCAAGTCTATGAACATTTGAGAACAGACGGATATTTCTCTCCTTCTATGTGTGTGTGAGTGCACATAATGGTGTTTTGTTTAATCATTAATCAAGTACATGAATACAGAAACACAGTTGGTTTGAGATGAAGAAAGGAGATTTCATGGACAAAACAACAGATGATTTCTCCTGAAGTCACATTGGTGGAGTGCTACGGACGGCACTTAGGTCTGCTAAACTGACTAGTATTGTCAACAAGCTGCTGGGATGAAGTGGTGTAAAGTAGGATTACTTTTTCATTTGTTTAAAATAGTGTTTTTTTTTTGTTTTTTTTTTTTTACTAACAAAACCTCCATAGTTTTAATAGTGACAAAGATCATCTAGAAGTGGCAGATCCACACAGCATCTGATTTTTATATGAAAAAAAAAATATATATATGTATACGTGTGTGTGTGTGTGTGTGTGTGTGTGTGTGTGTGTGTTTTAACTCTGAGGAAAGATTGTTTTCTGATGTTGTGACACATTATCAGTGTTTCATTTACAAGAAAAATCATGTTTCCAGGCTTCGTGTTCAGCAAATCAGATCTTTTTTCAATTTATGCACATTTCTCCTGATTTTGGACTTTTGCACCATCAGAATTTCAACGTGAAAATATAAATGCTGATTAGAAATGATGTGTTCACAAGTAAGAATACAGAAAAAGGAAAGTGTGAGATGTATTAGTGGATTTCACTGGTTCATAATGTGGTTTTAAAAACTACAAATTGACATAAACCAGCCTTAAGTTAGGATTCCTGGAGTTTTTGAGTGCACACGTTTAGATAAAATCATTGTCTCCAATAAAAATGTAGCTTTTCCAAAACTCATTTGTGCTTTCATTTCTAAGAGGGAAACTGCAGCAAAACCAGATGTAAACTCGAGCCTCCACCATCATTCTTCAAACTGAATCATCTAATCTTTACAGTCATCCCCACCACACCCATGGAGCTCCATCTTTCCTGCATGATGACTTAAAGTTCATCCTAACTTCTCTCCGTGTGAGTCTTGATCCCTCAGCATCACAAATGACTTTAACTTTTATTTATTTTATTTTGCTCATGCATCACATGGCTGCATGAATCCAACAAGAGATGGGAAAATCCCGCATTCAAATGCACTTTCTTCATGTAGATATCAGGATCTGATCATAAATAAAAAGCTAAATTATTTCCTTCACTCCATTAGATCCTTTTTGGAAAATAAAGGAAATCCATCTGCATGCACGTGACGAGCAGAGAGCACCATTCATGGGGGTTTCTTCTACCTGAATGCTGCAGGATATCTCCGAGTCGTCCAGTAACCGGATCGTGCAAAGGACCTCCTGGTCCAAGGAGCGGATGCTGGGGCTGCGAAACCGGAGCATTTTCATCCTTGTGTCGGTTCGGTTTCAGCTCCTCACGTGAGCGGCTCCAAACACAAACCAGTCGCGAAAAACCCAACCGAGATCCGCATGAGCACGCGAAACATGTTTGCGTCGGGTCCTGTCGCCCCTTGAGACGCCCTTGGAAATTAATGGAGAGAAGGATGGATGAGTAAGAGAATGGATGGATGCGACAGACCAGGAGGGAGGAGGGCTTCAACCCGTCATGCCTTGGTGTGGCTCGCTGATTGATCAACAGGATGGAGGATGGTCACCCCCTATTTTTTTCTCACAACCCCTTTTTAATTAATTTTTACATTTCGGCAGCTCCAACTGAAGCTGCTGATTATAAAATAGCATCTGAACTGATTAAAACTGAATATTTCTAACGCTGTGTTTATTTTAATGATAACTGTTGATGAATTTCTAGATTAAAATTCAGTTTTCATCTTTAAACTTTTATCCAATATGTATTGTTCATCCATTAACCTTTCAAAATAAATATTTGTTGTCTTAAATCGCCTTAACTGGTGATATTTTCCCGTCATTATAACGTAAAAGACATTTTGGCAGTAACCAGAGACTGCTCTGATGCAACGTGAGCCTCCCCGCGCTGTGCGCTGTCCCTTTAAATCCGAACGCACGCAGCGTGCGTCGTCATCACGTCACCAAACAACCGGCGGCCATGGTCCAAAACGTTATGGAGGTCCAGAGCGATTCATTATTTGGTATTTATGGCTTTGTTTGAGCTCTGCTGACAGGCCACACAGACTCCGCGTTTGTTACGTGAAGGTTTTACATCCTAGAACTAACAAATGACTTAAAGACAGCAGAGTTTTTGTTTTACTGTACTCCGTTTGATGTTCTTAACGGTTTGAGAATTCCCCACTTCCGGTTTCACTGCCACTAATGGCAATGAGTAGTTTTAGTGTAATAATGTGAGAATAGCAGCTACAACACAATAAATACATGTTTTTAACTCTGAGTTTTATAATAATCATAAAACAAAGACTGCCAATTTGAACTCCATGCTGGTAATTTGCGCCCTTTCACCTGTTCTAAAATGAAGTTTTAAATTATTATTATTTAAATTCCCACCAACAGGAATCGTCTATTTTTTTACATGTACATATGCACAAGAATAAACAAAATAAAATTCAACGTAATGTAAAGTTTAGGCTTTACATGAGTAAAGTGTTAAACTGAAGGACATTTTGATACCATTTTGACAAAAAACTAGCAAGAAAAAGGTTAGCTCTCCTGTGTGAGTTCGTTCAAAGTTCAGTTTGAGACGTTGTTGACGTTTAATTTAATCAGGTACCATCAGCTGGTTCTTCACTGTACCTGATTCAAATTAAAAAGCATCATGAGACAATTACACAAGTCTATTTTGCTATTCCTTCACAAATTAGTTAGCTATTTTACGGGGTCTATTTTTGCTGTTATTATAGTTTATTACAAATTTAAACACAAAAACAGTTACCTCTCCATAAATAGTTAAATATAATGTTTTTTCCTCTGTTCAGTATTATTTTTTATTCTTAAAACAAATTAAAAGTCTTATTATTGTTATTATTTTGATAACATGCTCAAAATATGTTATTTTTATCTTATCATGATTTTTGTATTGAGCTATGGGTTCATATATTCGTACAGAGATGCATCTGCACTAACTGAATTACAATAAAATGATTTGAATCTGACTTGATTATTACAATAGTGCCATATATTATATATCATTACATTTCCTGATCATGCATTAGTTTGACATTTTATTTGACATTCGCTTATTTGTTATCACACTTTCACTCGTGCGGTCCTATAGTAAGTGTGTGTGTGTGTGTTCTATTTGTTTCTTCAGTAACTTGTTTCAGCACAGAAGCTGCCCTCGAGTGTCTGAACATTGACCAACAGGATGATCTACATCATAATGGGAGTTTCAGGCACTGGGAAGTATGTGCACCATTTCAATGTGAAGCTTATTTATCCAATCCAATCCAATTTTATTTATATAGCGCATTTAAAAACAGCATGTCAGCTGACCAAAGCACTGCACAGAGTTAAACCTAAAAAGCCATGGATTTACTAACATTTGTACTTTCCATCAATATCCATAATTCCTTAAGTTTTTCCATTTCATTTATTCTCACTTCTGATCATTAATGTTCTTTATATTGCTTTAGCTTTGTGGCATCATGATTATAAATTAATTGTTCCTATAATATTTCTAAAATGTTGATAAAAAACTGCTGTAAATCCAGCTAAAATGAATCGACCGAATTAGAATGAGTCACATTGAATTAAAGATACAGAAAAGAAAGTCATCTTAAAGTTGTGTATTTATGTAACTCATAGTTTTACCAGAACTTTAAAACAGTAATTTTAGATTCACTGATGAACATTTAAAAAAAAAACTTTTTTTTTTATGTTTTATTCTTTTGGAGCTAAATAGTGAATTTGTTTATTCTTTTAATGTATAATTAAAAAAAAAGGTTTGCTTGCTATTTTGACCATTTTAATGAATTAATTGTTTTTCATTTTTTGATTTTCCTCTCCTTTTTTAAATTAAAGAACAACTTTGGGGACGTTTCTGTCTGACAAGGTAAATCGATCCGATCCAGATGTTTCCAACACACACAGCTGTTTGCTGCTGTCTCTGTGTTCACTGACTGGTCTGCTGTGTGTGTCATATCTCAGCTGGGGTGGCCTTTCCACGAAGGCGATGACTTCCACCCGCCGGAGAACATCGAGAAAATGGCTCGTGGCGTACCGCTCACTGACCAGGTCAGCACAGGAGTTGCTCTCTGATTAATGTTTTTATTGCCTTTATGAACCCCATAGACTGAACCTTTAGTAGTCGTGGGGTCTGACATCCTTGTGGATTTTGAGGCTAGATTTAAGAGTCAGAAATAAAATTATTTTAAAGGCCAAAGAGGGATTAAGAATTCAGATGTGTGTTTGTTTGGCTCTCAGAATCTGTCAGTTCTAGCTTTATGCTAGTCTTTACAGTCCCTGTGATTAGAGAAACTTTCTCTGATTTGGACCAAAACAAACTCAACAAGTAGCCGGAGGAGGCTTCAGTCGAGCAGACAGCCACAGCATATTGGTGCTTTCATTCCACCCACACTTCTACAATCCAGCTCTTTTTACTTCCCTTTGTTCATTATTTATCTTTTCTCTCTCTTTGCTCACTTTTAATATAAAAAGGAAAGCTTCAAACAGCCGACTGGCTACCTGCCAGGGTAGAGTGTAGCGGCCTGCAGGCAGAGAAGGCCTGCCAACATTTGGCAGCTTGTTTCTGGAAGCTGTGTTTGGTAACAGATGATAACCTCCCACTCAGACGTTTACTCTGGGCGGTGTGGAGAAACGCCACAGGAAGGACTCTGTCCAACACTTTGGCGTGTTTCAAAAATCCATCAACAGTTGTCAGTTTTGAGATGAAATGATGGAGTGAAGCAGAAATGTAAATAAAGCATTAACTCTGGTATACTGGAGTTTTTAGAAGCTCTGCTGGAAGTGAAAATGTGTGAAATAATGATTTTGTTTTGAGATCAAGAATATTATACAGCTACCTGATCTGTTTGATTCATTTACTGATTAAACATTTGAATTTTCTATCGAATCTTTATCCCCTCCCCAAAGAAAAAACATACTCTTACTTGGTTTCAGCCAGGTAGTCGTTTTGCTGTGGAACACTGAAAACACATTTTTTAATGATTTATTTTCTGATTATAATCGGTCCCTCTGAGTTTTTCATGTAGGCTGAACATGAAAACACCTTTCTCCTGCATTCGTTTCTGATAGAAAATAGATGGTGAAACTCTAAGAATTGAAAATCCTGACAGCTCTACGTTACACTGCCACTGAACGTTCATGGCCTCACCCATCTTGACTCACGACAGGGAAGGCTGTTGTTGGTTTAGTGCCCAGGAAACTGCAGAGAATGTCTTGGCTAGTAGAAGCTAATCGTTAGCATTAGAAACTCCACCACGTGGCAGAACTTCTTCAGGTTTGAATTACTTGTGAAGATAAAACGTCAAAGTTGCAAAGCAAAAGGAATCAGGGGTAGAGTCACATTGCTGTTATCCAATTAGAGGAGAGATGTCAAAATATCAGGATATAAGATTCCAAATTGGTGTTTTGCCGCTCTCTCCTCCATTTGACTCTTCCGTGCTGATACAAGTGCTTCTGAATACAATAACAGATTAGCTGATTCCATTATAAACATTAAAAATCAACTTTACTCATATTTTTAATACATTTGCAGTGGCCACAGTAGGAATGAATGCCTTGTAAGTTGGACTCTTGTTTCAGGAAGTACAAGCCAGCAGGAGGAGAAGGTAGCTTCAGACGATTTGGAGTCTTATTTCCTGATATTTGGACATCTCGCCTCTGATTGGATAGAAGCAACGCGACTCTACCACTGACTCCATCCGCTCTGCAACATTGATGTTTTATCTCCCCTAGAATAACACAAGCCTGGAGGAGTTCTGTGTGGTGGAGTTGCTAATGCTAACAGTTCTCCGCTGTTTCCTGGACACTAAACCAACAACAGCCTTCCCCATTGCAAGTCAAGATGGGTGAGTCCATGAATGTTTTGTGATGGTGTGACGTAGATCTGTCAGGATTTTCTGAACTGAGCATTTTTTCTATCAGAAGCTTATGCAGAAAATAGTTATAGAAGACTATTTTCACGTTCAGCCTGCACGTTAACCTCAGACAGATCATTTTCGAAAATAATAAGTAAAAAGTGGTTTCTCTGTGAACCTGGTCTTTCAGACTTTCAAGAGTCGGTAGGTGGAGGTGTGACTTTAGAGGAGTTTCAAAACAGGTTTTGTTTCCGGAAAGTAATTTCAGATACAAACATTAGCACTGTACAAACTTTATGACACACCAGCCTCTGAATTTGTGTTCAGTAGGTCATAAAACTGTATCATATGAAAAGAAAATCCTGTTCCTTTGTGGTTTTATTCAGTAAATTGTAAAATCTGATGAGAAGAACTGAAGTAATTTAGAACAACTCATTTTAAAACGATGCAATTTTATGAAAATAATAAAAGAAAAACTACTTTTTTGTCCTTTCAGGACAGATTCCCTTGGCTTTTCAGACTACATGAAATAATTAAGAGGTGAGCATAAACTCCCACATTCTTGTCCTTCTGTCAATTACGTTCTAGTTTTCGCCCTTCCTATTTAAGTACTTCGTGTAGTTATTTTTGGTAAAAGCAGGAAAAGGTTCAAAGAGTTCGATAGTTGCACTAAGCAGAGAATCAAAGTGAGAATATTCAGAGGAGATGTGAAAAGAAAATCAAAAAAGATTTAGAAAATTGAGATGAGAACCGTAGCGGAAGGAGAGCGGGTTTGGGGGCGTGGAGACAGATTTAGTGAGGGAGAGGAGGAGGATAGGTAAGGAAAATGTTAGTAAGTGTGTCTCTTTTTTTAAATTGTCTTTGGTAACATCAAAGAGGATGTGGTTTTAATATAAAAAAACATGTGCATGTCCCGTCGCAGAGAAAGATGCTGCGGCTCTGATGCTCTCGTGGCGTGTTCGGCTCTGAAGCGTCTGTACAGGCAGATCCTCCGCCACGGCTCCACGGTCCTCACTCCTCCCTCCACCTGTCCACGTCCACACGTCTCGCCTCCTCTTGACGTGTTTTTCATCTATCTGCATGGCAGTTATGACTTCATCCACCAGAGGCTGGCGGCCCGGAGGGGACATTACATGAAAGCAGACCTGCTGCGTTCTCAGTTTGACATTTTAGAGCCTCCATCAGAGGAGGAGAACTTCCTGTCCCTGGACGTCGGGAGGAGCATCAGTGATATGGCGGGAGAAGTGGAAAAGCACGTCCTCAGTCTGAAGCATCAGCAGCAGTGAATCAGTGACCGCAGCACCAGACTGTGATGGATGTCCAAAGGGACAGAACATGTGGTCGTACACGACTTTAGCTGCTGTGCCTTGTGCATCTACAACTTTCATTTTTCTAAAATATTTAAAATGTATTTCTGAATTAATTTGAAATAATTTGTGTAAAGAATTAGCTCAGCAGAGGACTATTGTGATTTATCTAAATAAAAGTTTGAATGCTTCAGAATCAAATACCTGCAGAGAGTGGACATTTCAGATGTCTGTGGACGTTTATTATGCAGAAGGAACACGATGACCTTCATCATGCTGACACTTGTCTTTGTACTTCTTTTTGAATTAAACTCAAGGTGTAACTAGAGCAGCTTGAAGCTTTTTTGCCTCACTTGACTTCAAAGTAAACACTGATTCTATTCTGAGGGAGAAATACATTTCAGTGCAGATTCACAACCAGACAGAAACTTGATTTTATTTTATCTCCACGTAATTTTTTCAGTCGGAAGAACAGAACAGCAGCTTGCTTAAAACACCTGAAAACAGCGTCTCAAAGCCTCCCTGGTAAAGTTAGACTAACAGAGGCTGGAATCAGGATATTGGGTATTGAGACAGGCAATACATCTTTACAATTAGCAAATTAAAAGTATTTTTACCATTGCTCTAATTTTAAAAAGTAATTTTATGCTCTAAATTTCCCACATGCTCCCTAATAAACTAAATGATCATTTAGATACATATTTTTCTCAAATGTGTTTGAAATATCAAGAAAATGATCATTGGTTTCAGCTCTATCTGCTGTGCGGTTTCCCCCTGAAAGACTAAATATTTAAATGTGACCCAGTTCTGTGAGGCAGGTTTCACGCTTCTCACTATCACACAGGTCAGATAAGGTCAAAGCGTTCTGATTCCAGTTTCCAGACTGTCGTCTTTAGAATAATTACACACACTCTTAAACACACAAACTGCAGCTTGAAGAGCTGTTTTCGTGGTGTGACTCATCTTCAATCCTCTATTGGAATATTTTTTGAGCTTCTAATCCAGAAACCCCCTTCAGCTACTCTCATATCTCACACACCCAGTCACACTCGCCAGCCAGAAGTGAGCCCAATATAGTCTTACAGGAGCCTCTAGACCCAGAAAGGGTGTTAACAACTAGCTACCCATCTGATCCTGCAAAGTGGTACCAAATTGATGACAGGATGCGTGAGTACTTTGCACTAAACCATCCCTGTCAAAATATTGGATATTTCTCTGCATCACAGAGGAAATATGGAGACATAAACCGAAGCTTAACCAAGGAACATTTCTTTAGACGTGTTTCTGCTGTGACTGAGGCCCTGTGATGCTGGAAGGCTGAAGATGATCCCGGAGTGGAGCATGCTAAATGGTTTCCTTGGTAAGTGTTGCTGGTTTTATTAATTATTTTTTAAATAATTTTATTAATGTTCAAATAGCAAAACAATAAGTTCACACTCAGAAAATTGACACAGAATTTCTGATTCAGCAGAGGCAACAGCCTGAAGGAGCATAAAGCAAGATCAAAACTTAAGATAATGTTTTCATTTTATTAAAATACTTTCTTTTAAGATTATAGATTGTATTAAATTTATACTGTAATAATTTAGGCTGCGTGTTTATAATTTATTTTGCACTTTTAAAACATGCTTCAGTCCATTCAAATTCATCTATTTATTCTTGAATGTCTTTCCACCATCATGTGATTAATTTGTCAACATTTATAAATGTTGTAAGCTATTGTATTTAGCAGAAAATCTTTTTAATTAAATGTAGTGATTAAATATAAACAGAGCAAATAAGAGACACATATTTGCTCTGTTTACATAGTTTAATGACACCTAGTGGTTATTTACTGGTACCGCCTCGACAATGACGCTCCCAATCGATAAGATGAGGATAATTTATTAGCATTTAATACAGCTGTGTAATGACGTATAAACTATTAATATCAAAAAATTGTCTGATAGAATGTTTAACATGCAACACGTGACTTATTTTGGCATACAAACAACCAATTTGTAACCAAAGACTAGGCTATGTAAAATGTGAATGAACTTTTATAAGTAACTTTGGTAAGTTTCAGATTTCAATTCATTAAATAACATTGATGGATGAGGGGGGAGGGGGGCTAAAAATGCAGCCTGCCTAGTGTAGTCCATTTATTTAATCCGGCTCTGCTCCTGCCCTCAATCGACGAGAAGGTACAGAGAAGTGTGGGCACGGAGGTGTTCACTCTTTTCTCCTCGTGGTGCCCTTGTGTTTAGTTTCGTTCGTTAGCATACTCTAGATTCGGATTGACTTTTGGATTGACCTTATACTGGCCCTTGAGTTCGACTTTGGGTTTGCCCGAGCGTCACTGCTTTTCAGGACGGCTCTTGTTTTATTTAGAATCATAAGTACGAGTATTTCAGTTAATTAGTTTCCCTCTTCCCAACCCTTTTGGCTTGGCACTTTTTGTTAGTCTTTTCCCCTTTTGTGAATATCTGCCTTTTGTTTTGTTTAATAAAACCCTTTGTTGGACACTTTTACTCTGTTATTATTCAACCCACACTCAAACTTTATTGCCCCCTAAACAACCACATCACTCCAATCGAGCTGAGGGATGTAATAGTTAGGGTTAGGGCTAGTCACTAACGTTCTACCAGTTAGGGTTAGGGCTAGTCGCTAAGGTTCTACCAGTTGGGGGGGTAGCTTGTTGCCAATGTCCTACCAGATAGGGTTAAGGCTAATAGCCAACGTTCTACCAGTTAGTTAGGGTTAGGGCTAGTTGCCAACATTCTACCAGTTAGTTAGGGCTAGTCGCTTCTACCAGTTAGGATCAGGGCTAGTCGCTAACGTTTTACCAGTTAGTTAGGGTTAGGGCTAGTCGCTAACTTTGTACCAGTTCTTTAGGATTAGGGCTACGGCTAGTCACTACGAAGCATTTGCCCAAACAAGAGTTACGTTTTTAGAACTGTTAAGCTCAGCATGGATGTGTTTAAGCCATATCATTCACAAAGTTCTTGTCCTTTTCATACAAAATGCTGTCAGTCATCACATTTGTACAATGCTTACATTTACCCAACAGAGAAGCTATACCCACCACCAAAGTTATGGATAGTTACAAACTTTAGCACACAACATACCACAATCAAAACAATAATATTCCAAATTTTAGCTGCTGCAGTAATATTGGCTCAAAAATGAGATGATATTTAACTACCGTATTTTCCGGACTATAAGCCGCTACTTTTTTCCCACGCCTTGTGTCACAACGTGCCGGTGAGTGAGACAGAGGTGAGGATCCAAGTGCAGGGGAAGAAACAGGCAGGGAGGCAGACAGGAACATTTAAAACACTGATTTAATGGAGGACACGCAGGACAATGAAACAATGAACCAACCAGACAAAATGGACTAACAGGGTTTAAATACAGGAGGAGCTGGGACCTTGGGTGATTGGGAGATGAGAGGCAGGTGGGAGCAATTAACATGGACACAGGACTGAACAAAATGGGGAGACAGGACAGGGTGTGACACTTTGAACCATGCGGCTTATAATGAGGTGCGGCTTTACTGAAGATTTTCCTTCACCTGCCAGGGGGCGCTTTAGCAGAAAGTGAAAGGTGGACGTCAAAAGTGGAAATCGAAGAAAGTGCTCATTTTAATTTAGCACATGCAAGCAGCCGGCACGACAAAGAATTGTTTTCAAATCCATACCCCCCCATCATGGTAACTACATGTATGAGTTCATATGTTGCTGCATTTAAGTTGAAGGCTATCGATCTGGCAGTAAAGGAGGGAAACAGTGCTGCCGCACGTAAGCTTGGCATGAATGAATCCATGGTTCGGCGCTGGAGACGGCAGCGGGAAGAACTCATTCAAGCCAGCTTCACCTGGGGATGATGACAGCAACACGGACAGCGACACTGACATCGCCACACAAAAGGTATGTGACGAAGCTCTTCTGAGGCTGTCCAACTCCGACACTGAAGAAGAGGACTTTAATGGCTTTAGTGCGCAAGAGGAAGATGAGAGCGAATGACTTTTTCTGGTAGGCAAGTGTGTTTTATTTACTAACCAGGCATGTTATGTGTGCAGTTTTTATTTTCTTATCATCCAGGGCTTGTTAATGCCGTGTCAGCGCTGTTCTTTTCTTCTAAACATGCAAATTACCGGTAATAACGTGTCAGTGCTGTTTTTATTTTATAACCATCCAGAAATATGAATGCTATCAGTGCTGTTTCCTTTTCTAAACTTGCAGGCCCGTTCACCCGTGTTTAAAATTTGTTTTGTTGAATTAAAACAACAAAAAACCTCCGTGTAGCGTCTTCCTGTCTAATTATCTTATGTTATGGCCGACCGTACATGCACTGTGCACCGGAGACCTGCATGTGGCTGCTGCGCCGCAGCTTGTATTTGAGTGCGGCGTGTGTGTGTGTGTGTGTAGAAAACCTTTTTTTTTTTTGTTGGTGCGGCTTATGTTGAGGTGCGCTCTATAGTCCGTAAATTATGGTAATAGTCAACCAGCTAATTTATTCAGGGTCAGTTGGGTCAGCAGGTGATTCCAGACGGGATATCAGAGGCAGGATCTGACCTTGGATGACATCAGATAGGATGTTGATGAAAACGCGTGGCTTAATCCAGATCGCCAAAATTACATGATTTTTGTGTTTTATTTTTTATTTTCCCCCTTTTATCCGAGCATTTGTCTTGCTGTTTCTTGTGTGTGTGCTCAGTGTATTCTGTGTGTTTGTTTTAGTAGAAGTATTTTGTTCATCATAAAGTAAAACTTGTATACAGTAATGGTTTAAAAAAACATTTTCCTAGAATGATTCAGAATGTGAACATTAGATGTCCACATACAGTTTGCCAGTTAAACTTAAACAAAGTTGTGGTGGCTATTTGTCCATAAAACTTAAACAAAAAATAATCAAATACTTTCAAATGGCCACTGGGCTACGTCAAGGGTTAGGCTTTACGCACGGGTAAAAAGATTTCAAATCAAACAATGTCCATGCCAAAATTGTGTTTGGTGGTGGTTTATTCACACAAGAAGCAAGATCACAGATTTTTTGCGTCCTCTCTGTCTCTGTGGTTAAAAACCCATGTCCCCTCGCAGCCCTGGCTGTGTCAGGTTCGGTGGGCTGAGCTGGAGTGGTTATGAGACCCAGGCGCGGAGAGAGTGGTGGATGGAGACTGATATGTGGCAGCGTGGGAAGTTCTCTTCCCGTATGGTTTGTAGAGTTAGTGTCTTAGGTCTTAGAATGGCTTGGCGTCTATCGTTAGATGATGACTGAGTGCCGGCTCCGCTGTGACAGGTCCTTAAATAGGCTCAGCGGGATGACGTCACCGGGAAGCGTCGGTGACAGGCATGCTGGGAACTGGAGTACAGCGCCAGCCCGGCCCGCAGAGGAGGTTAGAGGGAACTGGAGTACAGCGCCAGCCCGGCCCGCAGAGGAGGTTAAGAGGAGGAGTTCATGACAGGACCCCCCCCGCGAGGGACGGCTCCAGAAGGCCCAGGGCGACGAGACCAGAAATCAGCCAACAGGGAAGGATCCAGAAACGAGCGGGCAGGCTCCCAGCTACGTTCCTCCGGACCGTAACCCTGCCAGTCCACCAAATACTGCCATCCACGGCCCCGGCGGCGGGCGTCCAGAATCTTGCGGACGGTGTAGACGGGGTCCCCATCGACATCTCGGGGCGTCGGCACCCGGGCCGGAGGCGGATGGAGAGGAGAAGACACCACCGGCTTGAGCTGTGAGACGTGGAATACCGGGTGCACCTTAAGAGTGGAAGGGAGGCGCAGCCGGTAAGCGACCGGACCGAGGACATCTCGGACTGGGAAGGGCCCCAAAAAGCGAGGCGACAGCTTCCTGGAACCAGCCGGAAACCGGAGGTTTGCGGTAGAGAGCCAAACCCGGTCACCAGGCTGGAACACAGGGCCGGGCCGGTGGCGGCGGCAGTGTTGTCGGGAGTACTCCGTATTAGCCCGGGTGATGGCGGCGCGAGCCCTGATCCAAGCGAGATGGCAGCGGCGGACCATATCCTGAGCCGCCGGAACCTCCACCTCCGGCACCTGATGGTCAAAAAGAGGGGGCTGGTATCCGTAGCAGGTCTCGAAGGGCGATAGACCCGTGGCGGAGGACGTCTGGAGGTTGTGAGAGAGCTCCGCCCATAGGAGGTAACGAGGCCAGGTGGACGGTTGAGACGAGGCGAAGCAGCGTAAGTAACGCCCAAGCTGCTGGTTTGCTCTCTCCGTCTGACCATTAGTCTGCGGATGATAGCCTGACGACAGACTGGCAGAAGCGCCCACCAACCGACAGAAAGCCTTCCAGAAACGTGAGATGAACTGAGGCCCTCTGTCAGACACCACGTCCTGGGGGAATCCGTGGAGCCTCACCACATGATCGAGGAGGAGCTCCGCCGTCTTCTTAGCCGTGGGGAGCCCTGCCATAGCCACTAAATGCACAGCCTTCGAAAAGCGGTCGGTGATGGTGAGGATGGTGTCCAGGTGGTCGGCAACGGGAAGCCCCGTGACAAAGTCCACACCTATGTGCGACCACGGCCTTTTAGGCACAGGGAGCGGTTGCAATTCCCCGGCTCCAGGTTGGGTGGTGGACTTAGACCGGGCGCAAGTGTCACATGCAGCGGTGTATTCACGCACGTCCTTTCTCATAGAGGGCCACCACAGGGCCCGGCGGAGGAACTGGAAGGTACGAGCCTGGCCTTGGTGTCCCGCGAGCCGTGAACTATGCCCCCACCTCAAGGCCTCCTGTCGACACACGGCCGGAACGTAAAGGCGGTTAGGAGGCGTCTCTGGGGGCGCCGGGTCCGCCGGGAGAGCCGCCCGGATGGAGGCTTCCAGGGGCCATTGCAGGGCGGCCAAGAACCGTTCGGTCGGGAGGATGGACCTCGGTTCAGGAGGCCTTGGATCCTGGGTGTGTTGACGGGACAGGGCGTCCGCCTTGAGGTTCTTTGAGCCGGGGCGGTAGGCGATGTGAAAGTTATAAGGTTCGAAAAAGAGGGCCCACCGGGCCTGACGAGGGTTGAGTTGGCGAGCGGTCTGAATATGGATGAGGTTCTGATGATCAGTCCAGATTAGAAAAGGAGTGGGGGTACCCAGGAGCCACTGTCGCCACTCCTCCAGGGCCCACTTTATCGCCAACAATTCCCGGTCCCCGACCCCATAGTTCTGCTGGGTAGGAGAGAACTTCCGGGAAAAGAATGCGCAGGGATGGAGTTTGGAGTCCTGGCCACGTTGTGACAGTACGGCTCCCGCGCCCGTCTCAGAGGCGTCCACCTCCACAACGAAAGGCCGGGTTAGGTCCGGGTGGAGGAGGATGGGCTCGCTTACAAAGCGGCGGACCAGCTCATGGAAGGCAGCAACAGCCTCCGGGGAGAGGCGGAAAGGGCGAGGCTGATTGGTTGTTTTCGTCAGGGAAGTTAATGGTGACGCCAGGGCGCTGAAGTTGCGGATAAACCGGCGGTAGAAGTTGCAGAACCCCAGGAAACTCTGCAACTGCTTCAGGGTCTTGGGTAGAGGCCACTGCGCGACCGCCTGAACCTTCTGTGGGTCCATGCGCAGGCCCTGGGAGGAGATGATGAATCCCAGAAACGAGGTGGACTCCTGGTGAAAAGCACACTTCTCCAGTTTACAGAATAAGTCGTGCTCCAGGAGGCGTGACAGAACGGCTCGAACATGCTGGGTGTGTTCCTCGGCCGTGCGGGAGTAGATGAGGATGTCGTCCAAATAAACAAAAACCCAACGACCCAGCATGTCACGGAGGACATCAGTGATGAAACGCTGGAAAACGGCAGGGCTGTTGCAGAGGCCGAAGGGCATGACCAGGTACTCATAATGTCCAGTGGGTGTAATGAAAGCGGTTTTCCACTCCTCTCCTTCCTTTATGCGGATGAGGTTGTATGCACTGCGGAGGTCCAGCTTGGTAAACAGTGTGGCTTGGGCAGTGGCGTCCAGAGCCGTGCTCATTAAGGGAAGAGGATGGCGGTCCCTGATGGTGATTTTATTCAATCCACGATAGTCTATACAGGGTCGGAGGTCACCTTCCTTCTTCTTCACAAAGAAGAACCCTGCCGCCCCAGGAGACGTGGAATGTCGGATAAACCCCTTCTGGAGAGCCTCATTGATGTAAGCGTCCATCGCCTGGGTCTCTGCCGGGGAGAGCGAGAACAGCCGACCCCGAGGCGGGGTGGTTCCGGGCTGAAGCCTGATCTCCAGATCGTAGGGGCGATGAGGAGGCAGCTTGGTGGTAGGCTCTTTTGCAAAGACCCGAGCCAGATCGTGGTATTGGGGTGGAAGGAGTGTTAAATCCACGTCCTTGGGTGGTGTCTCCCTAGGCTGTGATCCTGGAAGGAGTGTTAAATCCACATCCTTGGGTGGTGTCTCCCTAGGCTGTGATCCTGGAGACGGATGATGAAGGCGACAGTTAACACCCCATGCCATGACTTTACTGGTGGACCAGGAGATGTGAGGGTCGTGGAGGCGGAACCAGGAATGACCCAGAATGAGAGGAGTCGTAGGGGCGTGAATGACCAAGAAATGAAGGGTCTCTACGTGTTCTCCGATGGTCATCCGGAGGTTCTGGGTTCGGTGCGTGATCGGATATGGCATGAGAGGGCGCCCGTCCACTGAGGTGACGGGAACGGGATGATCGAGGAGGGTGAGTGGAATCTTGAGCCGGTTGACCAACCCCTGATCGATAAAGCTTTCTGCAGCTCCGGTGTCGAGGAGGGCCACCAGGGGGACCGGTCCTTGGCTCAGCTGGAAGGAGACCGAGAGGGTGGTGTGATGAGGAGCTGCATGAGTGGAAACTCCGAGTGAGGCAGCTCCTACACCGACCCGGAGGGACCGTTTCCCGGGCGTATGGGGCATGTTGCACGGGGATGACCCAGAGCCCCACAATAGGCGCATCGTCCCTCCTGAAAACGGCGCGCCCGTTCCTCGGGGGGCAAATGACCCAGTTGCATGGGTTCCTCCATGGGTTGGTTCTCCTGACGGCGGGGGAAAGTTCGGGATTGTACGGGAACCGCCCTCACTCCTGGTCTGGTGAGGAGGCAGCGGTCCAGCTGGAGAGCCAGGTCCACCGCCTGGTCCAGGGTGGTTGGAGCCTCGTGACCAATCATGCCCTCGCGGATGCGGGGTGACAATCCCTCCAAGTACACAGCCTTCACCGCGGCATCACCCCAGGTTAGACGGGCAGCGGTGGTCCGGAAGCGTGAGGTGAATTCGGCCACGGTCTGAGAGCCTTGTCGAAGCTGGAGCAGGCGTGTCTCATCTGCGACCTCGCTGCTGGGATGAACGAATGCCTTCTTCAGTTCTTTCACGAAGGCTTCATAGTCGTTGCAGACTGGGGACTTCTGATGGTACAGAGCAGCCGCCCATTCACCGGCTCGCCCAGTCAGCAGGGAGGTTAACAGAGCCACGCGAGAGCAGGAAGTCGGGTAGCGTGCCGGCTGACACTCAAAAGTCATTGACAGAACGGCCAACATGCTCTCCGGGGATCCTTTAATCCCATCCCATTTCTCTGGGAGACTTAGATACGGCTCCACCACGTTAGGAGTGGCAGATGACTGTCGTTGGAGGGCTGAGGAGAGTTGGACTACCAGTTCGGTGACGGAATCGAGTTTGGATGCGAGGCGATCAGTAACAGCACGCAGCTGATTGTTCTCCACACGGAGTTGGGCGTTGTCCGCCTCCTGGCGTTCTACTCGGCTGAGCAGCTGCGCTACCTCAGCTCGCAGCTGTGCGATCTCCGCTGGGTCTACTCGGGACTCAGTCATCCTGTCAGGTTCGGTGGGCTGAGCTGGAGTGGTTATGAGACCCAGGCGCGGAGAGAGTGGTGGATGGAGACTGATATGTGGCAGCGTGGGAAGTTCTCTTCCCGTATGGTTTGTAGAGTTAGTGTCTTAGGTCTTAGAATGGCTTGGCGTCTATCGTTAGATGATGACTGAGTGCCGGCTCCGCTGTGACAGGTCCTTAAATAGGCTCAGCGGGATGACGTCACCGGGAAGCGTCGGTGACAGGCATGCTGGGAACTGGAGTACAGCGCCAGCCCGGCCCGCAGAGGAGGTTAAGAGGAGGAGTTCATGACAGGCTGCTCCTTCCACCTTGACCTATTTATACAAATAATCACCCACACCTGACCAATAAACAATAAACTAATTAGCCAAAATAATAAATAAAAAGCATAATGCAAAACAAACAAATTCACTTTAGCATACAATAAAGAAAATAAACTAGGCTATAATAAACTAAATAGCTTCAACAAAAGTATTATGTAGTTTTTGTAATGCCAACAACTGCCAGTATTTTAAAACCTGGTGTATTTAACTGCATGTACCTCGTGAACTGAAAGCACAAACTATTTTTGACAGAACATTTTAATTTTGACTCAAAATTCTTGTGTTTTGGTAAAGTTGGTGTGTGCAGAGAAAAGTGTGTTAAGTGCTAGTACATATTCAACAAAATGTGTGGGGCAAGTATCTGAAATAGGGGTAAGCACTTGTTAGAAATTTAATAGAACTCCAGTTTACTCCAGTTAAAAACACAAAATCATCCCCTTCAGACAAGCTTTAGTAGAACATCATTTAGTCAGAGTAAACAGTCGGAAAACAAGTTTTCCCCAAGACGACCGACCACGTTCTTGTGTGTTTTAGAAGACAGACAACGAGCGCCTGTTCTGTAATGTTCTGTAGTTTGTCTTCATAGTGACCCTTTGTAATTTTATTAGAAACTTTTTTTTTTGCCATCCTGCAGAAACACAAATCACCAGAAAACGTGTAGACACAATAAAACAACACTGTCTTGGTTAACTGATTCTTCATCACTATCCGGGATCCACAGAATTTCTTTTTATTATTCTTTTTTTTCTTTCCTCTCATTTTTATTCACAATTTTAACTTTTCTTTTATATTTGTTAAATTTTTTTTTTGATTTTTTGTAATTATTTGTTCTTGTGAAGCGCATCGTGATTTTTATCTTGGGAGACGCTATATAAAAGGTTGTTCCTCCCTTCTACTTCTGCTGCATAAGGGCATAATGCTTGACCCTCAGGCTGTTAGATTCTCTTTATTTGGCAACATATAAACAGATTTGCAGAGCTTGTGAGCATGCATTACTGATAAATATTATGTTTTAGAATATTTATACATCTAAGCAAAGTGAGTTTAAACACCAGTGTAGATCTGGATCGGTGACTTCTATGAGCTAAAGAAAGCTTAAAGGCTAATGTCATAATTGCCATGGTTAGATTGTATTTTAGCAACTTCTTTATGACTTTTTCAAGTTACTATATTTAAATTATTTATCTGTTTTTAGTTTGTTTTGTGGAAGATCCAACAAAATATTGTTTAGCTTGAAAATCATGTTTGTTTGCTTTTTCCACTTTTTAATCACTGACCTTAACTTATTTATTACTGTAACGTGTGTGTGTGTGTGTGTGTGTGTGTGCGCGTGCGTGCGTGTGTGCGTGCGTGCGTGCGTGCGTGCACCACAACCCGAGCAGATATTTCACACTCTTCCCCACCTAAAAGTTCATCTGTCTGTCTCTGAAGCCCGTTGAGTTCTCCAGCTCCTCCTGGAGCTCCACTTCTTCCTGACAAAGCGGACGTGAAATAACACACGAGTTATTTCTAATCTAACTTATTGGACACATCATTCGTAAAGAATGAAAACATCAAACGTGATCATTGTGCAGATGTTGATGTCATCATCAGACATTTTGAAAGACCTCCTGTGCAGTGTGTCCCATTAAAACAGTCCGAAAGACCAGGAAAAAACAATGGCATACCTGGTTGTTGGTGTTAGCTAGTGCCTTAAGCAGCTCTCGCACAAACTGCTGCTGCTGCCGCTCCGTCTCCTTGGCAACCTGATCGCTGCTTCCTGACTGGCTGCTCAGGCGTGCGTCAGACGTTGCATTAACACCAGCTCCACCAGTACAGAGTTCAGCACTGCAGGACAGACACGTGCTGGAAAATTTAAATCTTTAGAAAAAATCTCTGTAATTTTACCAGAGTGGATTAAAGTCTCTCACTGAGGAATGAGAGACGGAGCCTCTTCTGCAAGAATCTGCAGGCCCTTTTGGATCTGTAGCAGAGCCTCTGTGACTCTGGGGTTCAACATGACTGCTAGCACCTCTGGACTCTGCAAAAAAGATTTGAATGATGACAACAATCAATCTGTTCAAGTCACAGCCTATTACATCTGCAAAATCTAAATGTGCATTAAACCTTGAATAAAAGCAAACTGTTGCTAAAATCCTGCAGCGTATAAAGATTTGATTTACAGGAAAACACAAGGATGAAACATCAGGACCACTGATCTAAAACAGACCTGCTGCAGAAAGACGGGGGTCTATTGTCTCATTTGCTGCTGCAGCTGAACGTTTCCAGAGAATATGGGATGGCTCAGCAGCATCTGGGAATATATGGGAATAAGAAGAAATGATTTGCCCATCTGAGCAAAATGAGTAGTGTGTGAGGATCTGATGACATCTAGGGGTCAAAGTGAAAATTGCCTTTTATCATTTGTAGCTAAAACCTCAGTCGGTGATTGGTTGGTTTATTTGGGGGTTTTCTACAAAATACTGCAGTGAAACTCGCCAAAATAAAAGCAGACCATAAAGTTTTTTCTTATGTGATCATGCTGAAGGAAAAAAATAAATTACTTTTAATGTTGTGGAACACAGACAGCTATCTTCTCTGCATGCATCACCTGAGCAGCGAGGTCAGGGTTCTGGCTGAGGCAGTTCAGAATACAGCTGGCATGTGGTCCAGACATCAGACTCTCCATCACACCATAGGCGTCATTTTAACCGGGGACGCCGGGGACATGTCCCTGGCAAAATTTGTGATTGGCAGCTGTGTCCCCCCCACTTTCAAAAAAGCCTGCTGATGAGGATTTTTGTTTTACCAGCTCAGATCTTTTACCAGGGGTCGGCAACCTGTTCCCATCAAAGAGCCATTATTACCCATTTCCCACAGTAAAGAAAACACCGCAGTAGCCGCGGCGTTGTGGGCGGGGCCTACCCTCAGACAGCAGAGAGCTGCTCACAACCAGGTGACAGCAGCCGGTACCGGTCGCTCGCATGGGCGTCGCACCCGTGGGGGATTCAACACCCACAATTTTCCTTCTGTTTTGCTCACCTCCACACCAGTCTGGTTTCTTTAGGTCGCACTCACTCTGTTTGCCTCATCTCCTTCTTCACCTCCGCTTCTGACAGCCGATGTCGGGTTTCCAGGAGAGGGAGGGACTTAGAGCTCGACTGAATTCATAATTTTACATCTTGACATTAGCTGTACAAAGTCTGAGTTTGATCAAGTGAAGAACAATAATTTGCAGAGGTTTATAACTGGCGCAGCGCCAGGTTTTCATTTTTGGGTGGGCCACGGTAATTTTGGACGGACCTCAATAAGCAGTGACTTAAGTGAAGCAGGCAGGTCGCGCTAGAAAATTTCGTTTAAAAAGACGTCATAAATGTTTTCCCCCGTCATTTTTATTTCTAAAATATGAAGTAAAAACTCACAATTTAATTTTCATTCATTTGTCATTAATATGTAGTCTACACCCGTGCGTTAAGTGGACCATCTTCCAGTAAAAGAAAAGCATCCAGCCCACCTCTCCAAATGCGTAAAATGTGCATCACAGCCACTAGGCGCACTGCGCGCACCGTCAGCTGATCGGCCCAGACAAGAGCAGAACAAATAGAGAAAGAATAGAGGATAATTGTGTCTGGATGTGGATGGAGATTACATTTTACAGCAGCCTGATCATCATCTAAATACGTAAACCATCACCTGTCTTCTAGTCCACGCTATCAGCATTATGTTAATTGGTGTGTGTGTGTGTGTGTGTGTTTTCCACTTCCAACACTGGTCTAACCAACCAGACCAGTGTGTCCAGTAACGTATTAATGTTACAATTAAATAGTTTCACTTCATGTAGGCTAGGAACATTTCACCTGCCGTAGCCCGACCGCTTCTGCTCCACACGAACTTTGTGCGTGATCAAATGTCTCTACAGGTGCTTTCTGAGCTGAAGAGGCAACTGGATGCGTCATGCGTCTCCATATTAGAGACGGGAACAAGCGCTATTCAGCCAAACTTTCATAATTTCATAAAAATAACATTTTTCCAAGTGACACATCCCTCAGAGAGACCGAGTTTCCAGACCGCTTCAGTGGGAGGAAATCAACCAACATCCTTGAGTTTATCCGTCAAAATAAACAGTCAAATGGAAATATCTGTAACCTGTCATTTAACTGTTTTGCCTTCTTGTGAAGATTGTTGCAATGAGAAACAATTAAACTTGATTAACCCCAGAGCCACGCGCACTGCGCTGTACGTCGTGACTGTAAATGAGGGGAAATGATTTAATCGGATCCTTTTCTTTTCAACATGGTTTAATGTAAAGTTTCATTCAGTACAAACTTTAGTTACACCAATCTAACGAGACAGAGCCTGGATTTGTATTCTGAACAGTTTAAACATGTTTAAAACGGAGACGTGCGTGACGCGTCTAAAATTCGTACCTGCTCCGCTATTATGGAAATTAAACTAACAGGATGAATAACATGAAATTATTTTAGGCACAGACAACATCCCCCACACTTTTGAAAAGCTTGCAACGCGCCTGGTCACTCGTGTACGTCAAAGTTATCTTTCATAAAAAGATAATCAATAAAACGATTAAATAAAGTGGATCCAGAAGCTGTAGCCCGTCTCTGCCTTCAATATTCACCCTATTGGTGGTTTTACTGAGCAGGTGCCACTTTTGTCATACGTTTCTTTTTAAAACATGTTTAGACTGTTCAGAATACAAATCCAGGCTCTGTCACGTTTGATTGTTGTAATTAAACTTTGTAGGTGGGGAAGGTCAGAAAGCAGCTCAGAAGCGCATGATTACGCACAAGCGTGACGCGTCAACCCGGTCTCACAGACCGGGTTGGACCTGTTCAGGTTTACGCAGACAATCTTTACATTTAGAATTGGCATACAGATGTAAAATTAATGCAGTAAAATATAAAGCATTTTATTTAAATATCCATTCATTATTTTACAAGCACCGAGAGCCGCATGCGGCTCCAGAGCCGCGGGTTGCTGACCCCTGTGCTAGCCTACTTTATTGTCCCCAGCAATTTTTAAGCCCCACTCAAGTGTATGGCTATTGTCCCCAGCAATTCTGAAAACAAACTGACGCCCTTGCATCACACCTGGACTGGCTGTGATCTCTTGCAGGACAGACTGCATACCTGCAGCAGGGATGAGCAGAAGCATGTAGAAACGGCTTATTATAATAAAAATCTTAATAACTTTCTAGTAATACAGAATTAAGAACATAAATGTTCTTTTCTTACAGTTTAGATGCTATTTAGTTTTAGTTTTGGGTCATTTGTAGGTTAATGTTGTGTTTTTGCCTGCGGTGACGGTTCTATGAGAGCTGGAAGCAGTTCTGGTAGCAGCAATCAGCCCTCTGAGGGGTTCTGTGGAGTCACAGGAGAGAACCGGCGTCGCCTCTGGATGGTTTACAGATGATGTCTTTAAAAAATGCAGCAAACGTAAGCATCTGAAATATTTTTTCAGACATTTCACAGTTGATGTTTTACCTGTGGTGTTTTGAGACTAGATTGAGGCTTTGTGCTTCTGAGGCTTTGTGCTTCTGGTTTCTGAAGTACATCAGAAGCAGCTGTGGTGTTTGAAAGATTGTCCTCCAGAACCAAACCGTCATTCATGTCAGGATTCCTTATGAGTCCTAGAACCTGGAGTCAAAAATACAACATTTTGGGCACAAGATGTTAAATTTTGTTAATTATGTGTCTAGTTTTGCCACGAAGCACACTCAAACACCTTGTTTATGACATCTTTGTTGTTCAGCATGTCTTCCACCTCAGGGTTCATCTGCAGGAGCTGCTGAGGAAGCTGTCTTGTTAGATGAAGACAGGGGAGGGTGTTCTGCACCAAGGAGCTGCACAGGACACCATCTCATTAAAAACAGTTGGGTTAAAAATGACCCAATTTGGGCTGGTTTTTAACCCAGCCGCTGGAGCAATATTGCACCAGCCCAGCAGTAGTTAATTCAACCCAGCAAGATGGGTTACTCCATTTTAACCCAGCAGATGAGTTAAATATTCCACCCAAATTCCGGGTCAAAATAGCCACAAATCTGGGTAAATTCAACCACACATACGTGTTATTTACCCTACCTAAATGCTGGGTCAAATTAATTAAACTATGGGTTGTTTCAACAACATAATGTTCAGTAATCAATCGAAATGTTTGGTCAATATGCCAAATTATTTCTAACACATTACATACAGTGCATTTTAGAAGACAGAAAATTGCACCTATCCATACTCAACTATCAAAACATACATGCTAGACTTGGTCACGTAAAGCATATACAATACAATAAAACTTCAACAATACTGAAATCTTTACAAGTCACTGCCTTGAAATTTATTCATATAAATGTAAACAATATAAAAGTTCCAATGACTTCACATCAAGAGCTGCACCAATTTACACTGAAATACGTGTAACTCAGTGCTAAAATAAAAACAACATTTAAATGGTCAAGAGTACATTTTACAAATACCTGTTTGCTTCTTTTGCTAGCACGTATTCTACTCTGCAGAAACGTTACTAGTTTCGACTCCCCTCCTGGGATTTCATAGACGGTGGTTTGCAGGAATTTCCAGACGTGTTCACACTGCCTCGGGTATTCAATGTCTAAAATAAAGAATGCCTTTCCATCGACGGCCTGAAGCAGTGTGTCATGTTCCACAGCCTGATCAGCAATGATGACAAAGGCCTGAGACACATGCTGTGTATCATTTCCCAATGTCAGAACATAGGGGAATGGTCTTGTGGGCTTGGCCTTGTGGAGGTATTCCACCATGTTGGTTCCAGGCTAAAAAACAGAGAAAGAAAGCATAACAACGAACAGGTGAGAAGGAATGAGTGAGTAAGGAACAAATGTCTACCAACGCCAACTGGGTGACAGTGGCACAGGAGTTAAGATGCTATAGAATATAAAATAATATTTGCATTAGTGGCTGTAAACAAAAATAAGTCCTATAATTAAACACAAGGGGGAAGTCAAATCAAGACGATATTTTATTTGTTTCATAAACCAACTAAGAGTGCACTTTGTGGCAAATTTCAAGAAGATTCTGACAACAGAATTTGCGCTACAACTGCTAGCCTAAAAATGTATTTTTGTAAATATAAAGCGCAAACCTCTTTGTGGAGCTGCGATTTTCGTGACATAAGCTGAAGCCTACCCAGTTAACACAACCTGAAAATTTTAGCCTTTTACATGCAAATAATGATTTTTTAGGAAGTTTTGCAAATTTGAAAATTTAAATGATCATAAACCACGCCCACTTTACTCAATCATTACCATATTGATAATGTAATCTTAAGACTCTATAATGATGTCAAGCACTAAGTTTCGTGCAGATCCGTTTAGCCGGTTCAGCAGTATAATTTCTTCCTATTTATAGCGCCCCCTATTGTTGAATCAAGTTGAAAATCAAGACATACACTTGAATTGACCTTAGGTATGAAGGTTATGAACAGCTTTGAAAAATGTCAAAATCTTTCGAAGTTATGCTAAAAAATACTTTTTAATTCCAAAAAAAAAATAAAAATTTAAAAGTCAAATTTAAAAAAATAAGCAAATTATCCATAATCCCTTTACAACGTTTGGTCAGCCGCTCCTCCTCTCTTGTCAGGACAAGTTTTGATTTGATTGTGTTTGACGGCCGGGAGGAGTTAACGAAAGTACGTTTGACTTACTAGGCGAATTTCTACTAATTTGCATAAGTTTAAAACTTTTTTTAAATGCTCGTCTAAATTTGACTGACTCAACGAACATATTGGATTAGATCGTTTGTTTTTTTTAACTAAAAAAATGGGGAGAAACATGGCAAAAATATTTTTTGGTTACAACAGCGCCACATATTGGAAGATTTTCAAAAAAAATTCTGTGATTGTAGATGTCGCTATGACTGATACGAATTGTAAATTTCTGTACAGAATATATATTTTTCATGAGTAAAAGGGCGAAAAATTTTAAAGCCTATAAGCCACGCCCACTTTTTAATCATTTTCAAAATATAGCTTAAGGGTCTGATGATTAACATATGTGCCAAGGTCTGTAGAAATCCATCAAGCCGTTTTGCTGAAACAAACTTTTTGACTCTTTAGCGCCCCCTATTGGTGAATCCAAACAAAATTGGGTAGATAGAGCTTACCGCTCATACTTTGTAAGGGTCTAGAGTCTCATCATTTTATCTTGAAAAATGGTGAAGATATCATCAATTATCACATGTGCTAGCTAGCGCACAGAATTTGACATGGTGTCATTAGCCTAATTTTCAATAATTCCACGTTTTTCTTCGTCACAACAACTTAGCTTAATCCGTAGATCATATGTACAAAGTTTCAAGTTGATTCGACGAAAAATGTCGAATAGGTAATTAAAACTAAGTTTTGCGTTTTTTGCGATCTAGCAAAAAATCTAGTTAGGCGGAAATGGGCGTGGCCAATACAAAATAGATGCAAAATCATCCAAGGATTTTTTTTTTATATTAAAGTGAGGAAAGATCTTCAAAAACTATTTTGAGTTAAAATTTTGGACACATCAGTAGTGGACCTTGGGGTCTCAGGGTGTTTCGGCCATTATCACTAGACACCCTACCCAAGGACGGCCCACCAGGGTTGATCAAATCCTGATGTGTCTTTTAACAAATTAGATTTTTAAACCCTATCCCTGATTAGACTAATCCAAAACGAACATTTGTCTTTGATGCTCCCAGTTTGGGTTTAGATAGTGTTATAAGTTTTATCAGAGATGAACTTAACCTTTTATTTCAAAACCTTTTTGTTTTTATTTAAAGGAAAATGTTTCATCTTCAAACCATTTATTTATTTTTTATTCTTGTCCAGATCAAAAAGGAAATCAATCAGTTCGTTGTAGCAATTAGAGTGAGCTTACCCTTTTAAAGTTGTTTAAAGTAACCAGTTCATTCATCAAACAGGCTTACTTGCCGTTTTGAATAGGTTGAAATAATGTTTTATTGTTTCCTTAAGAGTGCACTTTACTTATTAATATCCTCTTTTAAAGATACATGTTAACCCTTCAACCCATTTTTTATTTATGTCCAAATCAACATCGAACCTAACCAGTTGTTTGTAACCCGTGGAGTGAGCTTCCCCTTTTAAGAATGTTTAAAACAGTTTGTTCATCCACAAAACGTGTTTTTCAGCACCCTGGGCTTCCTGACAGGGTTGCGTAAGGCACTTTATAAATAACACTTTGTTTGTTTGTTTACCATGACCAGTTGGTTCCTTGAACGAGCGTACTTGCCATCTTGAAAAGGTTAAAATAGTGTTTTAACGTTTCATTAGGAATGAACTTATCCCCTTAATATTTCAGCTATTTAAAAATAGATGTTAACCCTTCAAACCAAAGTCAACATTGACATCAGCCAGTTAATTGTAGCCCGTGGAGTGAACTTACCCTTTTAAAATTGTTTAAAGCAAGCAGTCTATTCACCATAAAAGCGTATTTGCCATTTTGAATCGGTTGAAAAAATGCTTTAATGTTTCATTAGGAGTGCAATTAACTTTTTAATATTCAAGCTATTTAAAGCTAAATATAACTCATTTAGAAAATATTTTACCCCCCTTATCTAAATTAAGCTGGAAAAAACATCCAAATGTTCCTTTGTCCTCTTGTTAATATTAATATTAAGGAGAAGCAGGTGAAGGGAAAGAAGCAGAACAGGGAAGTTTTTCCCAACCTTTTTTGACTCCCTGAGCCATTTTCTCGTAGAGGGATTTTACCCTTAATGCAGAACTATTTGATAATATAAAACAAATACGCATTTAAAAAATACACTCAGACATTGATATGATTTTTAAGGTCCATATTTTGTTTTCAACAAAAAAATAATAATTCATGTATTTGGATTTCAAGTGTGTAGAGTAAATGTTTGATCACAACAGCTGGTTTAATTTGATAAACTTGACACACACACACACACACACACACACACACACACACACACACACACACACACAAACACACACATTCATACAGACAGAAATATTTTAAAGGTACACATTTTTGTTTCAAACAAGAAAAAGGTTCATGTTGATTTCACAATAAATGCATAAACTACTCAAAAAGATAAAATAAAACCAATTTAAAGGAAAGCAGCCAGTAACAGAATTAAAATGTGCTTCTTTTTCATTGTTTGTAATGAGTTTTTGTCTAAATAACCTATTTTTCATCAAGATTTAAAAATACCGCTTTTCAAATCCCAGCTGTTAGCTTCATTTTCTTGATTGTTTGTTTGGTACCTTTGGATCACACACGGAAGCTGGCCGATCCATTCTCCTCTATAAGGTGACTCAGGAGTTCTGAGTCTCTGAGGATGCATCTGTTCTGGATCAGCACCAGCTGATCCGCTGAACCTCCCAGGCGTTCTGATAAGAGTCCACCTCAGCTGTGGACAAACATGAGCCAGTGGTCATAAATCATTACTCAGCCTGAATCTGTTAACAGACTCAGCAAAAGCATCATTTATGGCTCAGAGCAGATGGTTCTCGTCTCCTGACCTGTCTGATGGTGCAGTCTCTTCCAGTGCTCAGGTCTAGGCTCTCTTTTGGGCCATTCCCATCTGTACTGGGTCGGCCCGGGCCGGGTAGCGTAGGTTTGACGCTTCTGATGACAACATGGATCCCCTCAGACCTGCAACAACCCTAATCTGGTTTGTGCTCCATGTAGTCAGACATCAGTTTTGTCCTTTTGGAGAGTGAAGCAGCAGGAAGCAGTCCTGCACCAGAGTGTGTATGACTCAGCAGAAAGTTGTAACTCGTCTGCGCAGTAAGAGATTTATTTTTCACTGTAACAACACAGCAAACACTGTGAGCATTATATTATTTATATTTTCTAGTATGTGATTCAAACTAGTCTAAAATATAAAAATGCCATGCTTTTGTATGTCATGACTCTACATTAAGATTTTTTCACTCTAAAATGTTTAGAAAATCTTCCAAATTTGCTTTTGTGGATTTTAAAGAAGAGATTTTATGACTTTAAGTTAGAAAAGTTCTAACTTACTTTTTATTGCAACTGAAGTCTCCCTCCTTGCATTTTTTTCCTCGAGTTACTCCTGAAGGCGTTTGTCCTCTATGGTCCCAGTACACTGGTGATCTGAGCTGAAACTCTAACAGACAGAAGCTCCTGGAGCTTTGCATCGCTCCAGTTTGCCATCTCAGCTGATTCTGTTTACAAAAACTAAACTTATGCTAGTGTTTGCTTTCATCTTCAATAGTTGCCTGCAAGGATTCGGCGAACACTCGACACCTGATCATGATGATAATCTTCCTTCACATGTCTGGCATTGCAGCAATATTACTACCAAGCTTAGTGGAATGAAAGCTGTAAAATTGCTGCATTGCCATGCCGCCAACATAAACCACACCATGGCGTCAGTATTACGTTGATTTGCCATCACAGTGTCTTCTGAAAGCAACTTAAAAAAACAAGCTAGAGCTGGCTATGCCCACCCACCCATGCTGCTATGAGCTAAGAAGCTCAGATATCAAGGAGCTGAGAATAGAGCCACTGCTGCTCCAGCAGCAGCAACTATCTATTGCATGCAAGATGTGGGTCTACTCTAATTTACCCATTTGTGACATCACAAACAGGGCTTTTTGAAATGGCTCCTTTTAGGCATATCATTCCAAAAACCAAATGCCAACAGAAAATGGACAGATGTTTTTCCCATTTGGAGTATTTATAAAGAAAGAGTCCCAGACAGCAAAAAAGGATGTAAAAGGTGACTTTTGCATAATATATCCCCTTTAATCAGTAGCTGGCATAACCTGAGAAGTTACCGATTCTCCATTTTTCCTTGATTCGGTCTTATGTCTTTAGAAAAAAAAAAACATTCTACAATCACGAGAAGACAAAATGTTATTTTCACTGAAAACGTGTTTTATTTTCTTAACAGTGAGCAAGAAAAAAAACCTCAAAAGGATACATTTGAATCGGTCGTTTTGGCATCAAACCCCATGAAACGAAGCAGGCACAGAGCCTTTGACAGTACTGGAGAGGCCGTAGCACACACACTGCACCAAGTAAGCATTTCAAAACTGTCATTAACCTCAATTACTTCAAAATACTTCAGGAAGTCTTGCTTAGTTGTGACACAGCAGGTAATGTCTGTGTGTGTTTAGGGTGACATGCAGGCTGATTTAAAAAAACAGAAAACACTAGAAGAAAAACTCTGATTTTGATCTCTAGTTGGTTTCGTTCTTTTATTATTTTAAATCCGTTAGCTGCTGGAACCTTCATAAATCCACCTCGGAGCTTTTCTTCCCTTTCTTGTTTCCCTGTTGAGCAGGAGAAAAAAACCCAAAGATTTAGTTTTTTTCAACATTTCAGCTCTAAAATAAACCCCGCTAAATGAGCACGAGGGAATATTTAAACACATACTTGATGTTTGGGTTGGTCGGACTGCAGCCCTTTAACTTTAGACCTTTCTTGTTCAAGAGCAGCATGTAATAATGTCACCTGGAGAAAAGCACCAGGCCGTTATTCTTGAGAACAAACACAACCGGGATCTTGTGTCCGAGTTGCACACCTGTGATGATAATTCTTCTTTGATGTGCAGAAGTTCCTCCACCTGTAGAAGAATCTCTGCTTTGTCTTTCACTGCACAGTGATGTGATGAAAACATTAAACATCAGACTGAACATTTGGAAGCTGCAGAAGGAGGAAACAAACCCAAAGCTCCACTCACTCTCTCCTTGTTGGAGCATCTTAAGGAGCTGAGAGTTTCTTGCTTTCACCTCTTTGTATTTCACCTGCAGAGACCGGATTACACGCGCTAATGAATCTAAAGAAAGATTTAAAGTTGACTCGGTGGTGGAGATTTAACTCGTTCTAAAAACCGACGGCTGCTCCTGACCTCCCACTGTGAGATGGTCTTCTTCAGCTGATGGATCTCCTGATCCTTCTTCTCCAGCTCGTACTTCAGCTGCTCCGCCCGGGGATCCTAACGGGACGATTTGGCAGAATCAGCAACTGAAGAGACTCTCAACTTTAAGATTTTGTTAAAAACAAAGACGTGTGGACGAGTGTTTGGTGCACTCACCGGTTCATGTTCTGTGGACGTGTTGATTTCCTGTCCCTGACTGTTGACATACTGCTCACGTCTTTTCTCCCTTTGGATGATACGACTTACATCATCTTCTAGTTTGTTAAAAAAACGCTCCTCTTGTCCTGTTCCTAAAGCTACGTTTGCCACTCCGGGGTCCTGGAGAGGAAAATGGTGGACATTGCAAATCAAAGTGTGTGTCTATGTGGTTCTTGTATGGATTATTTAAAAAAACTAAGTATGAATTCCCTGCAAAAACATGTTACTAGAGTCTTGAATCTGTTGCTCACCTCTTTTTCTTGTTTTCTACTGAAATGTTCTGCAAAGAAAAGAAAAATCAGACATCAGAAAAAATAATTACACGCGCTTTTAAGAGAAAACTAAACTAGAAACACAAATACTTTGCAGGTGTCTCTCACCAGAACCGCTTTCAGCTTGAAAATCCTGCAGAGAAACCGTCTTTTTGTCCTTTGCCTGTTGGTGTTTCTTCTTGTCCTTCTTCCCAACACTTTCTTTTGCTCCTCGTGATTTTGGTGAAGAGGTGTTGCTCTGCAGGGATGAGAATGCATGGTTTCAACTCGTGCAGTTCATTCACCAGCACTGAGCCGGAGGATCCACTTGGTTGTCCGTCCAGATACTGGACGATCCTCGACCCGGCCTAAGACCGTTATGGCGCCTTTACGTCTCTGTCGGCCCGTTCTAGCCCTGCTAGGGTCACTGTTGTCCGAGCTCAACTGACCTTTTTTTTCCCAGAGCTGCTCCCTGCCAGTCAGCTTGGTGCTGAGCCGACCCAACACACCCACTATGGACTGATTGACCGGCTGAAGTTCATGCCTACTTACTAGTGGGAACCTCTGATTGGCTGTTAGAATCAGCCAGCGGCGGGCTTTCGCTTGCTCGATTCAATATCAGACTGGATGCAGTGGGGTGCAGTGGGGTAAACATCTTCTCTGACTGTAGCTCAGACTGGCCGCTGCAGCCACGGCAGAGCAAGACAGATGTCTGCTGTGAGCGTTCTTGGATGGGTGAGGAGCCCACAGCAGCCCCGCTGCTCAGTGAGAGAGCAGGAAGCTGTGTGCTTCATGTCAGTGGGTCTCCAAAAACAACACTGCTCACATCTGCTTTTTGTTTTTACTAATTTGTGGCGCTTAGGAAGGACACCACAGACTTCTCCGCACCTCCTTCGCCCCGCCCACAGGCTCAGAGTCATCCACGTTCCTGCGAAGAAAACCTGGCTGCACGGGGGTTGGCTGATCCAACCAAGACCAGCCCGAGCCGACCAAGGTGTAGAAGTGGCTTTAGTGGTGCCGAATGCAGCTCCATGACAATCAGGCGGCAACTGAAACTGAAGGGCTTCAAAAGCCCCGTCTCCTTGAACGCCACAGAACTGACTGAACTTTGCAACATGGGACAATGAAGAAATGTAACCTTGATGGTCTTGGTGGTTTCCAACGTTCCAAGCATGACATGTAGACCCCACCTGGGTTTTAAACAGGACAACGCTACTATCATACTTTGGGACCATCCTGCGTGTTCCCCAGAACACTAAATTCAACCGAGAACCTTTGGGGATGGATAGCAAGGAAAGTTTACTAAACAAGACAACTGTTCCAGACAGTAGAGGCCTTTCGTGCGTCCATCTGTTCCCGCTCACCTCTTGGAAACGCCCATATCAACCATGCTGCAACAAATTTTTGAATTGATCAACAACAGTGGAACTACTCATCATTACTGAGTTTATGTTCGGGACTCGATTTCTGCTTTGTCTGGGCTTGTTTGGAGGTGTGGTCTTACACTTTAACAAGCTGTAAAAAAAAAAAAAAAAAAAAAAGACTTTCAGTTTCGGTGTTGTTTCAAAAAAAACAAACAAACTCAGAAATAATTTAGTCTCACTCCCATTTTTTTCTTGCTACATGTTGAAGTTCTATTTGGAGTCTTGTTAAGATCTAACCATGCTAAATATGTTTTGTAGCTATTTTTCAAGTAGTCTTAAAGGGACTTTACAGACTTTTGAATTTTTATGCTCGCGATTGCCCCCTCAGGCCAAAAGTGTAACGGCAGCTTCAATAGTAGTCTCGTGCACGAGGCGCGCATGCTGTACGTGCACACTCCTTAACGAAAATAACAGCTGAGACAGTCCCGTGTGTGTGTGTGTGTGTGTGGCCCGGAGGACAGAGGACAGGAGAACGCACAGCTAATTAATTAAATAATTTGGTTCTGTACCTTTCTCTTCAGCACAGCCGACAAAGGTTTATGATGGGTCAGTCCTCCTGCATGCTCAGATCATTCCCTTCCCTTGCTTGAAAAATTGTTCCAAAATGAAAGTTGAACCCACATCTTTGAACCCACATCTTTTTTATCTTTCAATTCAATGCCGTTCGGCGAGTCAAATAAAAATTTGGGCATCTTACTATAAAAAAATATACCATTAATGTAAAAAAGAAACTCTAAATGAACTGTGTACACACCCAGAATCAAACCCAGGTCTTCTGCATGGGAGTCAGACATCTTACAAGGTGAGAAACACTCTAGTGACATTCACAGTATCTGTAACTTTTATATCCTTGATGACAGCGGAAACAACGTCAATCCAAAGAACGGTTCGGAGCGAAAATGGCTATTTTGTTGCTAATTTACAGGAAATATCTAGAAGAAAGTTCTACAGAAAGTAGCTAAGGGTCCTCAGAAATGTAGCTAGCTTTGTCACTAGGCGTTAGGAACAGCGACAAAGTCGCTGAATTGGAACTACCTCTCTCTCTGCTGCTAAAGCTACGGATAGCAAACGCTACGGGCTATGCCTGAGCGTGAACGCGCATGAAGCAGCCTGCTCGACCCGAGCAGCTGTCTTTTTCTGTGATTTTACAGAAAAACAGGCAATCTCAGTAAAAATGCCAGGGCTCATTCTACAGGACCAGGGCATTGCAGGAGAATGTATGAAGAAGAAATTTATTATTTCTATACATGTTTTGGCTGTCAAACTTCCATAATGCCCCTTTAAACTTTTGATCGAGACTGTATTTTTGACTTTTGCTATGAAAACTGTTGAGCAGCAACTTTTAGGCATAGCCACCAATCAGTTTCTCCACAGACAGGAAGAGATGTAAACGTATTCAGATCTATAAGCAGAATCTTAGAATGATTAATAGTACTTAAAAAAAAGTACCTGTTTCTGTTGTTCATACTCTAGTTTACTTAGAATCAAAGCCTTTTCCAAATCTGCCTCATATAGTTCTGTGGTTATCTGCAGAGAAAAAGAAAATGATCCCTTTAAACAACAAAACATCAGCACTCTCAAACTGCTCATCTTGTAATCATCTCTACTGCTGATCAACTTGACTCTACAGATGTACACCCCAGCTGTATGTGGTCTAACCTGTTCATCTCGTTGTTTCCACTGCTGCCAGCCCTCTGACGGTACACTGTGGTCCCCCGGTGCCGGGTTCAGCAGTTCACTGGCGATTCCTGACAGAGACATGGACGGTGGCGGGGCGCAGGACTTCTGAGGAATCTTCCTGAAGGCAAGATTACGCAACTGATGGGAAGACAGATGAACATAACCCATATCGTTTAGCTATAAACTGATGCTTGACTGTGCAACTCTAAAGAATAAGTGACTGATGCTGGTTAGAAGGAACATGTTTGATTTGATCAGCTGCAAAACAGTGATTGTTGTGGAAATTGTTACTTTTATTTGATCTAAGTTCTCATCTTTGTTTTCATTTAGCATCAAAATGAAAATAAGAGGTGACTTCTCATAATTATAAGTACAGGCTATAAATCCCTGTAAACACCAACTAAATCTTGGATAAATACCAAATTTGACATGGCCTTTTTGCTACCAAGTCATCTGATTAATTACTTAAGATCAGCCTACCTCCTGTCCTCGCCAATAACAGCTGGCTCTTTGACCTTCAGGTCTGGCTTCTGGATGTTTTTAAAGATTTTCATGCAAATGTTAAACAGATTTTTACTACCATCCTTGTTTCTGGAAGGAGCTTCAGAGATGCTGAAAGAATAAAACTTGCAAACTTGTGTTTAGTTGTGTGTTTGAAGTTGATTCACCGTCATTTTCAGTATTTCTCCACTGGCTTAGATGGTAATCTTTAAACAGACAAGACTCTAAAATTACACAATAAAATGTCTGTTTAAAATGATTTACTTTCATGCATCCGAAGGTGTTTGCAGTTTCAGTTTCACTGAAATGAAACAAAGGGAAACATAATCCAGCAGACGATTTTCCAGGTTTCCTCAGTGACTCGCCTCATTTGCCTCAGTCTGCTGCTGCTCCTTCTTCTTCTTCTTCTTGTCTTTTTTCTTCTCGTTGCTCTGAGCAGGTTTCCCCCCGGATGCTCCTGTTTTTCCCTGCCGGGCCTTACCGGAGGACTCTTTTACAGCTTTGGCATTGGACTTCCCCGGTTCTGAGGTGTCAGAGTCCGAATCAGAGTCTATCTGGAGCAGAGCAAACCGGGAAGCAGTGGTGGGAACGGTGATCATTGCAGACGATGCCATGACAGCGAGAACTAGAAACAAACAAATAAATTACATGTATTAGCATAAATTCAAGCAGATAATCGAGCAAGATAGTAGTTCGGAAACCCCTTTAAACAGAAAAATCGGCAGATCTCAATTAGCTGCTTTGTTTTAAGCAATAACGGTGCAGCGAAGTCTGGCGTGCTAATTTCTGCCCACTCTGTTAACAGGCTGCTGCTGGAGATTAGCGTTTTATAGCAGCGGAATAACCGAGCTAGCATCGCTTTGTTAGCTTATTAACAAGTACTAAAGTTTTTATCTATGCCAGACGACACAACCCTCACCAGCTAAAGTGGAGCTTTTGTCTCTGTTGCGCTCGGTGGCTTGAGATGAATAGATACTCGTTACAACAAACGTTTAAGAGAACACTTTCACCTGTTCGCGAAGGAAGTGTGGTTTACAGCAGAAAGCTATCACTCTATCTCACTACGGAAGCCCGCAGGTACAAAAAGGTTCAAATTGCGATTTCATCTGTTGCTAGCGATGGTTGCTAGTCCTTTTCAGCTAGTCGTTAACTAAATATGTGTGGCTTCTTAAATTTGTTCTATAGTTGAACAATGGTTTTATTTTAATAGTCCATTACCACAGCCGTACATCATTATTTTAAAAAAGTAAGTATTTAAATAAATTAAACCCATCTAAATCACTGTGAACCACTCATTTTTTAATTAGGCCTGAACACAAATTGCGAGGCTGCCAACTCAAAATGAGCATGAGACACACGCATTTGAGTCGATTGTTTTCTTCACACTTCTCACGCGCACCTTCAATTTCTCAAGCTGAAAATTCTGTAAGTGAGCTATGTGAGCTACACGTTGCATATCACGCCATCCAGTGGCGAAAGATTGAACTACACCCTGGTTCTGTTAACGATGGGTACTTGGCGCCGTCCAGTGGAGAAGAGTTGGAACTACATTTTAGTTCTGAATATTTGGGCCTCCCTATCCCAACAAAGCTAAAAAAAATGTGATCTTTTTTTTCCCTCTTGGGATTATTAATCCGTACATTACTTTATTTCTATTTATAGAATGTACTGTATTCAACAAAGCACAAAGGGGCCTTTGCATCATCCTAATAATGAACATGTCTAAAACTGGACCGTCTCTGCCAGACCAGTTGCGTCATCTTGGCCAGACCTAATGCTCTTCGGAATGCCCCCTCGGTACCCACCCTCCCAAAAAAAAAAAAAAAAAAAAAAAAACTAACATCTCACTCTTAGATTTTGCACAAAATTGAATACACATAGTAAAAAAGGGAAAATAATTTTAATAGATGCAGATTGTGCCAATCATAGTGAAAAAATATACAAAGACAAGTTTAAAAATATAACAATAAATAAACAATATCAGAAAAGTTTTGTTTATTAAAGCAATTTCATAACACCAAAAACACTAGAAATGTTCATTACACTTTAAAAGTAAATTTAAAGCATTCTACTGAATAAGAGCTTTAGATTTAAGAGTTAAAAAAAACTTGCAAGAACAAAACATAATGTGTGGTACCATACAGTCTTTGGAGTAACAAGTGCAAATAAGATCTACTATAGCATGTGAAGTTTAACTTCATTAATAAAACCAAACAAAAAGACAAAACACACCAAACTGTGTTAGCTGCATCCCTTAATGTTTTTCCTATTAAACAAGTCAAATCAGAGCATCAGCAAGAATTTCACAATGACAACAAACTTTCTTCTATTTAATTTAACGATCACTTATTTTGACATACTGAACTGACAAATGTCTCATTTGTTTAGCTTTAGCATATGTTGCGATCTTACATAAAATTATTTATTCCAATTCTCTAATGGCAAAATCTAGTATCTAGTATGTAAGCCTTGAAGCACATCAGTTAGCAAAACAAAGTCACATGTCAGTATTTTTGGACTTCAATTGAATCCTCCATCATTGACACTGTGCTACAATCAACTACAGATTGCTGCCCCCTACTGGCAGAACCAAAGACCTGCATTTCAGCTGGAGAAATCTGTGTGGGCTCTCTGCGGCTCAACCTGACAGGTGTCACCTCCAAAGACTCTTCTGATTGACCTCTTGAACTTCTCAGGAGGGATTGTGTAAACGTCTGATTATGTTCATTTATTTTTGACCTTCGGAGCACTCGGTCAACAGAAGAATCCCGGTGCGCTCTTGCATCAGCTTGCTCAGGATATATTTTTGTGTACGAGGTTGCAATGCATGCAGTTTTTTTCATCTCCTCAGAAAGAGCTTGGGATTTATTTACACTGACGTGTATCTGCCTGTTGTGCATTTGTCTGTGCTCTTGTGTGTGTGAGGAATGATTTTCAGGGTGTAAGGCATCACCGAGGACCTCTTTAAGCTTCTTCTTGAGCTGCCGACTGGTGCTCTTGTAGAAAAACAGCTCTTTCTCCAGATACTGCAGTCTGTCTTGTAATGCCTGTTGGGGTTCTCCAGAAACACCTTCTAAATGCACACACACAACATCAGTCACCTTAAGCATCAACAACAGGCCTGAATCTAAATATTTATGTCCATTATCCTCACCTCTGAGCTTCTGCAGCAGTAGCTGAATGTTGTTTTGGTGGTCTCTGTGTTGCTGAGTGATCCTGCGGTCTGCATCTAGGCTCAAACGCTGTATGGTTGCCTCCATTTCCCTTAGAGTCATTTCTTGCTCTCGAGCATGAAGCTCCAGCTCATCACATCGCAAACGCAATTGGCGCTCTGCCTCTCTGAGACAAACAACCTGCACAAGGCAGGAGGAAAACATTACACCATCACAAAGACTGGGGGAAAATGGACCCAACAGAGAGTAACGCTGACATAAATATTTAAATCACGTTATCTTGCCTTGTTGAAATATTTGACCAGGAGCTTCAGAGCCTCAGGTGGGGACAGCTTCTTCACCTTCCTGTAAATGTCACAGTGTTGGGCGGGCTCAGTGCTCTGTGACTGATGCAGAAATGAGTCGCCATCCAACAAACGCTGCTTCTTGTCCTCGATAGACTGGTTTTTAAAGTCAAGGGCTGCATCCAGAGCCTCGATGGCTTCCTCCAGCTGCAGAAGGGAGTGCTCTTCCTGTAGAAGCACAGGTGTGAACTTAATTAATGAATGCCAAAAACCTGTGCAGACATATGATGTGCACATTACACACTGTTGTGAATTATTATAGGGGGGGGGGGGGGGGTTAAATTAACGCTAGTAACAAATAGAAACGACTTATGTCAGTTCATGGAAATGTTGAATTTGAATGTTCACCAAGGACATATTATTTAATCTGATTATTATTTAGTGATATGAGACAGTATTTTCTGATTTGAAATTAGTTAAGAGGCTCAGTATTGCGTAACCTTTAAAAACGTCATTACCCATGAGACTAAGGCCTAGTCCACACGTAGCCGGGTTTTTTTAAAACGAATATCCGCCCCTCCAAAAACTTGCATCCACACCACCTCATTTAAAATAAACAACTCTGTCCACACGTACCCGGATAAATACGTTGTTAAAGACATGCCAGACCTGTAGGCGGCAGTACTTCCCCCGTTCTTAACCTCGTCCTTCGTCTGTGGTCTTCCGCAAGGAGCAGTAATTCCGCTTGCAAAAACAAACAAGCAAAAACCGCTTGGACAATTGATAAAGCGAGCGCAGCTCTGAGGGCATCCATGCTGTCGGCTAGTGTAAACACAGGTCGCACACGTGATGTCAGCATGTTTTTGTCGCGGAAAGTGACGTTGCGGACCTGAAAACTCCGGTTTTGTCTGTCCACACGCAGACACCCAAAACGGAGAAAACGCAGACCTTCACTTTGGCCGGAGTTTTTAAAAAGATCCGTTTTCGTGTACGTTTTGGCAGATCCCCGGCTACATGTGGACAGGGCCTTAGAGTGTTTCCCAGAAGGCTTAGCAAGAAAACGAGGATGTGAGAAAAAACTGGCGCTAAGTGCAGACATGTGATTTTGCTGTAAGGTGTTCTAATTCACTAAAGTTTGAGTTCAACTGCAAGACAAGGTCTCGCCTCATTACACACGATGTCTTAAAGAGCAAGTCACCCCCAAATAAACATTTTTTTGCTGATAAACTAAATAAACGAGTGTCTAATCGTGCTGCAGACACGTGTCGTCAATAATTTGGCACTTCAGTGCATCTTAGTTAAAATTTAAATATTCTGCCTAAACTGGCAGTGTTGTGCCGTTGTCAGGTAAAAACTCTGGACTGTATTTGAATTTAAATCTGCCACCACTATTGGCTAAGAGGTATGCTATGATGTAAACTGGTACATTATGATGTCACAATGTTGTCGTGAGCCTGAGTGTGTGTGTATTTGTTAGCGGCTCCGCCCCCTCGGTCTGCCAGGCAACAGCATGTGTTGCATTTTTCAAACTTGAAGTGAGAGTGGAGTTAGACTCTGGTAGGGGGTGACTTGCTCTTTAACTCCTCTCACCTCTGCAGTGAGCACTCGGTTGTCCCTCAGCTGGGCATCCAGAGTGTCTCTTTTCATCTTAAGCAGATCTCTCTCTTCCTCCAGTTCCTCTCTGGTAACCCCCTCAGCCTTCACACCACTGCTGCTCTGCAGCCGCTCCTCCACAGACTCCAGCTGCATCGACACACGCACCAAATCTCGACTCAAAGCCTACAAAACAATAAACATAAAAGATTTTTTTTTTCACTTTTACAAACAGAGGTCTCCTTTATTTTCATCGCTGCATTTGAGCTTGGCTCGCTGCAATGGCTGACCTGACTGGATTGTAGCTTTTTGACCTCGAGTTTGTTTTTCTGTTGCAGACAAGCCTCCCTGTGCAGGAGCACCTCCTCTCTTCTCTTGAACTCCTCCTGCAGCTGCTGCAGCTTCACTCTCCTTTGAAGAACATGTTCTTCCTCTTCATCCAGCCAACTTCTGTCACTCAGCTATGACGAGAGCATGAATGTTAAACAGACAAAAACAAGGATGAAGAACAGGAATGATAGAGATGACGGTACATTAGAGAGAAGATGGAGAGAACAAAGAAAAAACTGCTAAAAAACATCAGGAACACTAAAAAATAATAACTTTTCTTTGACTTTACCATTCTGTCTGACTTTTCCAGATGATTTTCACTTTGTTCCTGTAAATAAAAACAAACCATTTACTAATGCTGTGAAGATGAGTTTCTATTAGTTAGAATGTATGCAGATTTAGGAATAGATGGTTTGCCATCAATGTTCTCACTCCCTGTAAAAATTCTGCTGATTTTCTTACAGAGGACTTTATTTATTTCCTTAAATTTGGTAAATTCAATTCAGTCTTTTAAGTATTTAATACATATGTTTTTATTCACTGTACAGCCTTTTTCCTTTATTCTTCTTTGATCCTGGTGTGAATCTGATTGTTTATGTTTATTTATTTGGCAGAGGATTTTATCCAAAGCAGGCTACGCAGTGCTTCGAGCTGTTGCCTTGCAGCAAGAAGGTCCTGGGTTCGCTTACCGGCCTGGGATCTTTCTGCATGGAGTTTGCATGTTCTCCCTGTGGATGTGTGGGTTCTCTCCGGGTCCTCCGGCTTCCTCCCACAGTCCAAAAACATGACTGTTAGGTTAATTGGTCTGTCTAATTTGTCCTTAGGTGTGTGTGTGCATGATTGTTTGTCCTGTGTGTCTCTGAGTTGCCCTGCAATGGACTGGCTCTCTGTCCAGGGTGTACCCCGCCTGATTGCTCATTGACCGCTGGAGATAGCCCCCCCGCGACCCTGCGTGGACAAAGCGGGTTCAGAAAATGGATGGATGGATGGATTTTATCCAAAGCGACGTACAATTGTTAACCTATAGGGCATGCTGTGATCTGTGGGGGAAACCGGAGTACCCGCAGAAAACCCACGCATGCATGGGGAGAACACGCAACTCCACGCAGAAAGGCTGCAGCCGAGTTTCGAACCTGCAACCTTGTTGCTGCGAGGCAACAGTGCTAACCACTGCGCCACCATGCAGCCCGTTGCTGCTAAGATGTCCCCACTCAAGGACAATAAAGGGACTTTCTATATAGATCTTTGATTAGTAAATGTAAAACATCAGAACATTAAAACATTTTCAATTAAACTTCAAGTAAAATATACCAACAACAACATCCAAAAACACTAAGGTCTGGCTCAAAAAAGCTCACAATTTTACATCAAACTAAAGTGAATTTTAAGCTCATTTAATGTGTTAAAACTGACCCCGTTTTTTTCCATGCTGTCACCGGTTTCCTTCAGCTGCCTCCGTAGCTGCGCTCTCTGCAGCCTCATGTGCTGCAAGCTGCGGTACGCCTCCGCTCGGACCTGCTGGCTCTGCATGGAAAGTGGTGCCAGAACGTTCACCTGTCCTCCATCATCAGAGTGATAGCCAAGTCCGTCCACTGCACGCGTTTCTTTGTCTGTCAAACAAAAACACTCATGTAAAGATGCAATTATTGGACGGTGAAAGTATTAAAAATGTTTAAGCAACAACAGAAAACAAGTGAGCACAAACACAAATAGGGACGCACCAGTTCTGTCCAGGTCTTTGATGAGCTGCTCCTTCAGGCGCATGTTGACCGTCAGCTCATGGATCCGTCTTTCAGTGATGCTGGTTCTCACTCCCTTCTTCATTAGGCTCTGATTAGGCGGGGTTTTTATGGTGCCTGATAAAAAACAGATCATTTAAAAAAAAGATCTGGACACAAAATACCTCCTTTATCAGAAAAGATTTCAAACATGAAGAAAAATCAGGCAAAAAATGAAAGAATGTCAAATGAAATACGTGTAAACATTACCTGTGGGCTGCGGGGAGCGCTCCAACGCCACGCTACCGTACGCCGTTTGACCGGGTGTTGCGCTTTCCTCCTTCAGTGGTAGCTTCCCCTGTCGGCTTGTCCATGTTCGGTTTAAAGAACGTCTGCAGTAAGGTCACAGCATTAAAGCTTGATGGTGCCTGCTCTACGGCGCATAATATCCAATACCATTAGTTTTGTCGGGTTAGGCTTGTCTGGTGATCACCGACACGTTACAGGTAGATGAATTATTTTTGTCGTACAGGAGGCGAAAGATAAGAATGGATGGAGGAAAAGATAAGAGTGTAATATTAAAAAATAAACAAATAAAAAACACTCCAAAAGGAAGGAGGCAAGTTTGTGCAGCCACCAATCAGAGAGCGTGATTGAGGAAGAGGAGGAAAGCAGGGGATCAATTTGAAACTGTTTCACAAAATATTCCGATAAAGATGGCCAAACTTAGGAGGCATCTTCAGCATGATGCACTTTGCTAAAGAAGCAGCTGGTCAACACATTTTCGTCGTCGTCTTCCTCCGCTTATCCGGGTCCGGGTCGTGGGGGCAGCATCCCAACTAGGGAGCTCCAGACTGTCCTCTCCCCGGCCACCTCCACCAGCTCCTCCGGCAGGACCCCAAGGCGTTCCCGGACCAGATTGGAGATGTAACCTCTCCAACGTGTCCTGGGTCGACCCGGGGGCCTCCTGCCGGCAGGACATGCCCGAAACACCTCCCCGGGGAGGCGTCCAGGAGGCATCCTGACCAGATGCCCAAACCACCTCAACTGACTCCTTTCGATCCGGAGGAGCAGTGGTTCTACTCCGAGTCCCTCCCGAATGTCCGAGCTCCTCACCCTATCTCTAAGGCTGAGCCCGGCCACCCTACGGAGGAAACTCATTTCGGCCGCTTGTATCCGCCATCTCGTTCTTTCGGTCATTACCCAAAGCTCATGACCATAGGTGAGGATTGGGACGTAGATCGACGGGTAAATCGAGAGCCTGGCTTTCTGGCTCAGCTCCCTCTTCACCACGACAGATCGGCTCAGCGTCCGCATCACTGCAGACGCCGAACCAATCCGCCTGTCGATCTCCCGATCCCTCCTACCCTCACTCGTGAACAAGACCCCGAGATACTTTAACTCCTCCACTTGAGGTAGAACACATTTTCTCACCTAAATTTTGTTTCCCTCATAGAGCCGTTCTCCTCCTCCTGGCTTGTTTCTTTGCTTGCTGCCTGTTGGTTAGTGCACAGACAGCAGACCTCCTCCTTCTCCTCAATCTCAGCCAGCAGGAGGTGACCACGCATCCTAAAAGCTGCCATCACCCTCTCCAGAGAGTAGGTCGGTGGACTAGAATGAATCTGCAAACACAAGATTTTTAAGGAGGATTCACACACATATATGGAATTATATCCACGCTAAAAGTCGACTTACAGGTAAAGCTACATGTAGTATTGCATACCTTCCTGGAAGTCCTGTGCACACAGCTGTTCCTGATCAACGGGACGCTGTGAGGCCTCTTGTACAAATACCCAGAAGTGCTCGCTTCCACCGTTGCTCCTGAGATCGTCCCATGAAAGGTCATGAGGGCGCTGCGGAGGCGATCAATCAGAATCTGCTGATTCACCAGCTGTTCTGCCTGAAACACACACACACACACACAAATACATTCACACAGATTTAAAGGACATAAAAAACCAGAAGACACCAGTTGTTGTTCTCCTTACCTGTATTTGAGAACGCCCCTTTTCTGCCGCTAAATCTAACAGCTGGCTTCTTTTCTCTTCCAGAAGTTTTTCCACTTCTTTGTGTTTCCGTTGCACCTCTGCATCTTTGTCCTGCAGCATTAGCTCTTTCACACGGAGATCATCCTAACGTTACGACCAAAACAGAGAAAACCGTAACCAAAGTGAACTGATTATTATGAACGCACAGCTGTGCACAGAAAGTTTGAATATTTATATTTTTGACCAGTTTTAATCAAATTCAATAATAATTTTTCACCTGGCACTTGTGGAGTTCTTCTCTTAGCTTTCCAAGCATTAAACTTTGAGCTTGGTCTCTGCACTCCTCAGAATACTGTTTGTCATTCTTTAGATGTGAGTGACTCACAGCGGTCAGTCTGTCCTGCCAGTCTCGCAGTCTCTGTTTGAAGAAACAACTTGGAGATGGACCAGAAATATCTTCAAGCAGGGCTGAAGCTTCCTGTGCCAAGAGGCAGTACTGCCACGCCGTTTTTTGGTTCATCTTCTGATCTGGTTCGGAGACCCTGATCTGACTGGACCGTGTAATAGTGCCCCCCTCTTCCCCTCTGCTGTCTGTCTTCTCTCTTTCTATCTCAATGTCCTTCTCTTTCTCTTTCAGAAGTTCTCTCAACGTCTTCACCTCATACTCCAGTTCCTCCAGTCGAGTGTCAGTGGGATTCCAGTTGTTGGGGAAGGACGTGGCCTCTGTTTGGGCGAATGCAGCTCCCGGACAGTTACGAATGCAACGAGCCTTGGTTGCAAACTGGAGGACATTAAGAGTTTCCGTGACAACAAGGTGGGAGGGGCTTACACAAGCCACCATCAGTGTGTGAGTGTTGCCTCCCAGAGAGTCCCGAAGGAGACGAGTGATCTTGGCATCACGGTACGGTATATGTGCATTGCTGCATCTGTTACCGTGACGATTACGGCTCTGGTCGGAGAGGGCTCGGATAACGTTGCCAAGCGCCAACAGGCCCGTGTTGATGTGAGCAGACTCTTTGAGTCGTGATCCTGCGTTTCCAGTTTTTCCAGCACGCTCTGAGCCTGCTAGGTCAACCAGACAAAGTTTGGAAGTGCGGATAGACTTTAAAGAGGGGTTCTTGTTGTTGTGGCAACAGATGTTGACCTGGAGGGTGAGGACAGCATGAGAACGACTGGAATGCTCATTCATTCCTGTAACACCAGTGTGACGTAGGGCATTTCCCATCTCTAGGACGCTGAGCAGTTCCTCTGCTGAGGTGATGACGATCTCTCTGACTCCCACGACCACTGAAAACACACAACTATACTTAATCAACTACCATTAATATTTTCAGTTTGATGTAATGAGTGTTACATGTAAATATAGAAGCATGCCAGGTCCCCATTATGTAATAACTTTGAGGTGTGACTGTTTCTTTACCCGTGTTTCCCCTCTCGTCCTCTCTGATGTGAAGCTCTTTCTGAACGGTTTGGAGCTCCAACAGATCTCGTAGTTCCTCTCTGTAGAGCTCCATGTATGAGACCCTCACAGTGGCATCCGCACCATCACTGCTCTTTCTCCTCTCTAGCAACAGGAACATATCCTGGGCCACACGCTCAATTATTCCTCCCTCTTCTTCTGAAAAACAACGTTTTTAATAAACTATCAGAAGTATTTTATTACATCAGAACTGTCCCAGCTTACCTTGGTCGACCCCTCCCAGAGTGTAGGTCTTCCCAGACCCCGTTTGTCCGTAGCAGAAGACGGTTGCGTTGTAGCCATCAAGCAGGGACTCGACCAGGGGCAGCACGCCGGACTGGTACACCTCATCCTGGCTGGCTGTCGGTCCGAACGCGTGGTCGAAGGAGAAGAGGCGGTCCGAGCCGAGCACCACCTGTGCGGAGTTGGGCACCACCCGCACACACACCTCATGCTGCTGGAGGACTTCTTTGGCTAGCAAGGGACGGATGCGGACCGCCACCCGAACACAAACGTCACCCATGAGGCCCGAATGGGCCAACGCTCGCGCAGGTGTTTCACGAGTTTGTCCTCAGCGTCTTCATGAGATGTGGCGAAACTGCTTTTCAGTTTTAAGTAGTTTTACGCGATATTTAACCAATGTTACCGGTGTCTCCAGTGTTTTATCTGTCGTAGTTGTAGGTAACTTCATCCTATCACGTTTGTTGTCGCTTTGTGGTTGCCCTGGAAACCGGAAGGTCCTGCCTTTCTCGCCTCTGACTGGCTAGGAGAGCTCTTGTATGATTGGCTAATTACGTTCAAAATCCCACCCGGGAACATGAATAATCAATCGAAATAAGTTATACCGTAAATCCTCTAATAAAGGCCCGGGCCTGTATTTTACTCAAGCTCATCAAGCTCTGGGCCTTTATTGGAAGGAGGGCCAGAATTAGAGGCATGTCTCAATTTCTATTTGAGCAAAATGAACTAATGGTTCGCTGGAGTTTTTGACAATTAAAATTGCGCCCACATTTTCAAAGTTAAACACATTTCTTTTAACAACGGTAGTTTCTGCTTCTGCCCTCTCCCCCTCCCCCTGCGCAGCTGCCGCAAACTCACTGATGCGCCTGCAGCCTCTCGGAGTTCCTGCTGCTCTAAACATTAAAATAATTATTTCATTTTCTGTTCCTCACTTCTGATTACCTTCAATGGTGTCTGTTAGTTGCAACCACCAGGTACAAAAACTAACTTGTTTTTATTTGACTATTTTTCTGTCCTGTTTATTATTTTCCTGCATCTCCTCTCAATCCTAAAGAAAAACTGCTACCTGGGTTCATATATATTCACCTTATGAGTTACCTTTGAACTGCAGTTCTAAAAGATCTACCGACCGCAAAAACAGCTGAGTGCACGCTGCTCACCGGCCACATCAGTTAGGTGCGTCACCGAGGACAAAACAGGTGATGTGCCCCGATCCACAGCAGCGAAAAGCATCAGGCACAAATAAAAGAATAAAAGACAGAAAACATGAAAGGAAATGAGCCGACATGAACGATCGCGTGTTAAATTGGTTTTTGAGGTGGCGACACCTGATTTGATAATGTTACTGTGGCCGTGCTCAGGACGCAGATGTCTGGAGCGCGTCGACAATCAGAGCTTTGCATGCGCAAGCTGGTTAAGGTTAGGATGGGGGTAAGGGGAAGGTTAAATTGCAAGAGGGTAAATGTCACAATTTGGTTAAATGTCCGTTTTACGGCAGGTGTCAGTACCAACGCTCTGGCACAGCACGTTGCCTCCCGACGCGCAGGAGCTTGTCACCTGCTGACAGCAGGCTGCTGTCTTTTCTGTGGACTGCATCTTGCCGATCATTATCACGTGACAGCGACTAGTCGATGACAGGCATAAAAAGTCACTATAGAGTGGTGAAGTCGACTAGTGACTAGTTCATACAACCCCTGCTACTGCTCCCCAGAGTGTTCTGCAGCATAATCAGCACGTTCTCTTTGAACTTGATATCAAATTTTCACCTCCTCTTCGTCTCCGCACGGTTAGTTACCCTTGCGGTCTATCACTGGCAAATCAAAAGTGAGACAGATGACACCCCCCCCCCCCCCCTTGCTTGTTACCACATTCCACCCGGCCACAATAAAAAAAAACGGCCATTATTCACCTCCGCCAACTCCGGCCAAAATGTGATACCCGGCAGTTAATTGAGTACAGGCCAATATTAGAGGATTTACGGTATTCAAATATGTAAGCCTGTGTGTCCAACAGTGTGTGCTGTCAGATAGATTTATATCCAAGTTCAAAATTTCTTAGCATGTTTAGATCAGCCGCAGCTGTTTCAGGAAGATGCGTGATCAAATCGTGTAATAGCCTTTAACTGCATTCATCAAACTTTTGGTTAAACCCAGACCTGACTTACTTCTGTTTGCTCTCAAGCACTGAAGTTATTTTATTAAAGCAGATCACATAGAATACACACTTGGGCATTAGCTGGGTGTAAGGTCCACGAGTTACAATAAAACTGCACTATTTATGCTCAGATGTGAGAGGCAGGTCAGTTCCTTTTAACGAATGGTAATTAGTGGAAAGTAGATCCCCATCCCACTTGGCTTTTAATTGGAGGTCAGCTAAACTAAATATTTGAAACAGAGAGAACCAAGTATGAAAAGCGATGACAAATGTATTGACCAATGTACACTACAGTGGAGTAACACTAATAACAACCTTTAACAATTAGGCTCCAAGTTTTCCCAACCAGCAAACAGGCTTAGAACAGCAGGACAATAAACATAACAGCCTACACAGACTTCTTTAAGGCATAATTAACACATGGGACTGTGCTATCATCGTCCCTTGCTGCCCTACATAAACGGAAGTGATGCCATGAACAGCTGGCGGCTCTGATGAAGGCGGAAGTTGCGGCCGAAACATGTCAGCCGAAGGTAAAGAAACATCTAGTTACTTCACTGTGTTAAATAAAAAAAAATAATAAGATAATTATGAATCAAAACACGGAACAAATATACAGAAGAGTTCTTTAAGGCTTCCTGAGGTGTCCTAATTGTTATGAAAGTAAAGACGTAATAATCATGAAAAAACACCAGAGTAGGACTAAACTATTCCTGGTTTTATTGAAAAACACCCAACAGCCGATCTGGACACACACCAGCAGACACACACTGTGAGTGTGGTGCCAGTGCACCACTCCTCTCTTCATCATTCCCACTGCTGGCTCTTGGCTCTTTTTGGAGGTGGACCAGATGTGATCGACTGTTCGTCCTCCAGTGGAGACTCGAAGTGAGCATCATCTGTAGGCTGGATGTTCTGTGAAGTAGCACTCTCCATCTTCCCAAAGGTAGATAGTGCTGAAATCAGGTTACTGTCTGTGTGAATTTTTTCGAAGGATGACAAGAAGGATTCTAATGGGGCTTGGAAGGTCTTGTCCTTTTTAAACTTGTCCATGAGGTCATCAAACATGGATCTCAAACGACTCTCAACATGCTCAGCATCCAACTCACTTTGAACAGATGCTTCTTCAGCTCCAGAGTCTTCTGATGCTGGGGGAGAGGTTGTTAGAACTTCTTCTTGGATGCCTGTTTTGCATAAATTGTGTACGTGAGAGTGAGATAGACGGTTAAGTGTCTGATTGATGTGAATAAGATCATTTCTACATGTGGAAATCTCTGCATGTGTATTCTATTCCTCTTGTCATTTTAGTTGTTGGAAGCAGTAATTTCATGTAACCTCGTGCCTCTATGCACCTTTTGCATATGTAAACATTACAGGAAACAATATACCTGTGGCCATCTCATACAAGGACTTATTTGGCATGAAGGATGTCACTGGAAGGTGATGGTGGCCTTCTTGCAGCTTGAAGGCCTGAGTTACAGCATGTTGGTGTTTGCAGAGTGCACCACTGCTGCCAGCTGGGCAGGTGCACATGCCCAAGGAGATGTTCACCAGATAAATGCCTCCTGTTTTGGTTGTAACTGTGTAAATTGATTCATCTTCCTAGAATATGAAAACACAGAGATAGATGTTGATGTTAGAAAAGGGCATTTTGTAAATAAGCTGAATGGCAAACCAGATCTCATTCAAGTCTAACTAGTTTGCAAATATAAGGAACGATTACCTTTAAAAACACAACTTTATCAACTATAGCATGATAAAAGTGAGAAATCTCAATTTTTAGAAACAATAGATTGTTGCAACCCACCCCCTCCCCCACTAGTGCTGCTGGGTCCTAGTGACTGGTCTTGGTGTACCCTTACTTTGCAAATACAATACACACCTGGACTATCCTGTCAGGGTCTACGCCATCGGGTTGGAACTCACACCTCACAGGCCTGCCGCTTGCTACACCCAGGAGTCGCTTTGTGTAGTAGCCTTCCAGCCTCGTGCAAATCAAGTCAACCAGTTGGATGATGGTGTGGGTCTTCAACCTGGAGGGAAAGCAATACAGAACAGAATGGTTCTGAATTGGACTTGTTGCTCTCGATAGAAGAAAATCTAATTCATGGAGAAGTTAAAAGATTGTTATAATAATTCACCAGCCATTCGTCCTTTGCCAGTGTTGGTAGTAATGCAGTACAAAAGTAATTAATTACTGTAATGCATTGCTTTTTGATGTAATGTGGTAATGTAAGGCATTACAGGGAAAGAAAATGGTAATATTTACTCGGTACAATTGTCAGTAACGCGGTAATTACAATGCATTTTTAAACCCAGAATCAAGATGTGTTCCTTAAAAATTCAAATTGCGGGAAACCCGAAGAAAGATCCAGTATCTGCATATATTACGTCATTTATGGACTCAGCTTTGCGGGCAGAGGGGACGCAGCGGTAACGGCTCAAATACTCCAGCGGCATCCTCCACGCGGCCGCTGTTACATTCACAAAATCGCTCCACTAAAACAAAATAATTCACTTGCGATCGTTCATATCAGCGCATATTCTCTGGTATTTTGTGCTTTTCTGACGTGCTTTGCCTCAGCTGAGTTCATAATCTGTGCCCCGGTGATTTCAACTCATTGCTGCTGAAGCACCGCGCATGTCAAGATCCCTTTGGCTGATTAGTTAGAAAGTAGGAAGTCTAGGAAACAGTTTTTTCTGGAAGACGGAGAGAACATGCAGCATGCAGGACGGTTAGAGAGAGAAAGGGCAGGAAATTATTCAAATAAAATCAAGAAAAAAAGAAAAAAGTAGGTAGATTTATTCCCAATACACATTTTTACCAGTGGAAAGCAATAATATATAAGCATTTAATATTTATACATGTGATAGAATCAGATTACCCCAGAAGTCAGTCCCACATCCAGGGCCGTATCAAGGCATTTGGGGACCAAGGCAAATATAGGCTTGGAGCCCCCACCACCTCACTCCCTGCTCAGTTAATATAAGATGGCAGCGTGCTGAGTGTACAGATTGTTGTTGCTTTTATTTAATAAACAATCATTTTAAAGCACTGTTATTATATCTGACTGTTTTTAACAGCAATCCTAGCTCAGACACCACATCACCTTCCACATATATGTCATGAGCTCACTGAGCGTCACATTACCAGATTCATACTGAAGTTGTGTTGGTGAAAGTAACTTAAAGTAATGCAAAAGTAGTGTAATGCCTTACATTTTAAAATCAGTAATATTGTAATGTAATGAATTACTTTAAAATGAGGGTAACAAGTAATAAATAATGCATTACAGTTTTGAAGTAACTTGCCCAACACTGTCCTTTGCCTCCAGCACCGTCCTGACGCTCAACACCCTCATCCCAAACATCCCCAGCAATCCAAATAGGGAACACCGCTCACGCACACACTGCTGGCAGTAAGCCATTAGTAAACAGCGGCACATACGAGGTCCACCCTGACCCCAGATAGCCCTCAAACTCCTCTGCCAGCCTACTCTCCTGGCCCAAGAAAGACAGGTCTACCTCTGAAACTGGCAACAGCCATGGCGGAACATCTGGCAAGACCAAGTGCAAAACCACAGGCCAGTCCAGGAGGCCCAACCCCTCCGCCTGCCCTCTAAGCCGCTCAAGAAAGCCTCCTCGCGCCACCAAACTCCCAGTGCTCCATCAGTAAACCCGACGCTGCAGTCGTCACCCCCATGCCCTTCGTCCTCAACAGGAAACGCAACCCCAACTTGTCCCATCGATACTCCAGCGGTATTTCACCCACCTCCACCTGAAGTGCAGACACGGGAGTCGTACGAAAGGCCCCGCTGCACCCCCCCAAAGCACAGCTGCCTGCACTACAGCCTGTGTAAAGTCGAGGGGGCAGCCGAGCCATACACGAAGAACCCATAGTCCAGGATTGACCAAACAACACCCCTGTAAATCAACAGCAGTGCACTCCTGTACGCCCCCCAAGCCGTTCCGGCCAAGCATCGCATTGCATTCAGCACCCGACCACCCCTGGCCACCAGGTCCTTCACGTGTACCCCCAAGTCATCTTCTCGTCTGACCACATACCCAAATACTTAAAGGTAGCCAGCCCCTCAAGATCCTGCGATTCCAACCCCCCAACCTCTTAGTGCTGAGTGACAAGTGGGGAGGCATTGGGTCCCATTTTTGTTAAAGTCTTTGGCATGACCCGACTGGGATTTGAACCCTGATATACCAGTTTCAGGGCAGACACTATTTACCACTAGGCCTCTGAGCTGGTCCACATTTACGCCACATTTAATGCTCCTCCTTTCATCCTGGAAGAAGAATGTGAAGCTCGCTAAACAATTTTATTTTCTCTTCGTCTGGTTTAATGACGTAAATTTGGTCAGACGAGCTGTTGGGAGTACATCATATGTACACTAAACATAAAAAAAAAAACTTTTGCCGCCTGTCAAAAATAAGCACTTTCTTGGCACCAACACGCGTCTTTAAAATTTGCGGACATCGTATGTGAAACCGTCTTCCCTTTACTATTATATATAGTACTGCCTGACTGTTGCCAGTACACATTCCCAAAATAGGTTGTGTGTGTGTGTGCAGCTTTGGTTTCACCATAAACATAGTTTTAAAACCTTTATACTTTTTTCATCACTACCTGTAGAAGATGCTGTCTTTCAAGATCCTCACGGTGTTCTCAACAAAATTGTTTGTGGTTTCACACCATGTGGAAAGACCAGTGCATAGACAGGTAGCCCAGTCCCTGCGTTGGGCAAACACTGCAGTCAAATGGTCCCGGTACTGCTGGTTCTTCAGCACCACTGGGTCCAGGAGGGCCTGGTGGTAGGTGGTCTTCAGCTCCACTGGTGACCTGGCACACACCAGTTTTTTGAAGATGTCCAGCAACCACTGCCGGTCCTCCACTGGTACCTATGATAAAATCATTATTTCATGTATCTTACATACCAGTAAGGCCAGTTTATTTAACAACTTAGAGATTTGAGTCTGGGATTTAAAAAAAATGTTCGAATTTAAACAAAACCAATACATAGTAAGAATAAAACGATATGAACTCCTCTGACGAACCTCGTGGTGACCGTCCCAGAGCCATCTCCACATGGCATGCAGCACATGAAAGACGCTGAGGAGGGGCGTGGTCTGGGGGAACAAATTCTGCAGAGCCTGCCGCAGGGCTTTGCAGTCGTTGGTCATGAAAACATTCGGGCCTAGCTCTCCTCTTCCATAAAAAGCATCCCCTGGTAGTAAAGTCTTCAGCAGGTTGAGTCCCGTTGCAATGCTGTTTTGGGACTCCGACTTTGTGACGATGACTCCCAGTGGGAGCCCGCCTGCAGCCGAATGGGTCAGCAGGAGGAACGCTCTGCTGTTCTTGCCACAGTATCCTGACAGAAACAAATTATTATTTTCCATCTAAGTGTGTGGTCCCTGGTTGAATTAACACAGAATAACACCCTCAGATTTTGTAACCTAATCTTTTGGAATATGAGTAACTAGTAACATAACAGATAGATGACCACATAACAGATGAAGAATAACCTAATCCAGCAGTGGTAACACACCTGATGAATCAATGACGACTATTTCTCCACTGTGTCTCGCCAGTCTGTGGATCCTCTTCATGAGTGGAGTACAGAAAGCGACAACTATTTGTCCATCTGCAGTCAACTCCATCAGACCACATGTCTCCCTTTGCTCATTGTTGTAAACCACAAGACGTTCCTGAAGATCTTGAATCACGGAGTCCCCTGATGCTGCTACGTAAGTCTTCTTGAAGATAGAGTTATACAATCTGTAAAAGCAATAATTAGTGGGGACACATTTATTCTGAGGCCACTTAAAACATGACCATGTGCATAAACATTATGCAATAAGTAGGGATGCACCGATACCACTTTTTCCCAAACCGATACTTGTATCTGAATATTTGCCGATACCGATTACCGATACCTATACCTCAACCACACAAAAAAATGCAATGATTTGGAATACAGATTTTATTTTCTTCTCTGCTTTCAACAGGAAAAGACTGTGAGGTAGATAAAAAGTAAAATATATGAATAGAAATGACAAGTTACAGTGAAGCCATTTTCAAGCAACTGCATTAGTATCGGTTGCTGGTATCGGTTAACTTTTATACCAGTATCGGTATCGGTGCAATAAGCAATAAATATAAAACTGACCGGTAGCAGAAGGAGAAGTCTGGGCAGATGGACCTATCTGCAGACGCGTCCACGTATGAATCACCCAGCTCCTCCTGAAGATCATACTTTAGGGTGTTCAGGGCTGAACAGGGCGAGTGTCCACTCTGGAAAAGCTTCTCCAGCTTCTCCACAGTTTCTTTGGACACACTGCGCTGCTTTAGGATCTCTGCAGAGTCAAGGGGGTGATTGTGGTTATGTTTGATGGTCACATGTGTCAATAACCCCTCCTGAATATGACCATCCTTGGATCTATACAGTATGAAAAGAAAACACGAGCCTGATTAAACAGCTTGTAAGATTTATTTTCTAAATGATTCTATTCTGTTGTGAAAAAAAAAAACACAGCCCACCTGGACCTCCTGTTCTGACTAAAGGAGAGCTTTTTCACCACGAGGTAGAGTCCAGCCGGACAGTTTGTGTTCTTTTTAGTGTACGCTGCGTTTCTCGTATTGTGTTGGCACCTCATGTTAACCTTTGAACACAGAGAAGCTTCATTAATGCTTTGATTAAATAAACAATTACAACACGAAACATGACTATTCTAAATCTTACACGGTAGCTATTGTGCCGAACTTTATTCTTAGTATTAGGAAACGTTTGCTCCTTTCTTAAGGTCACTCTTGAGGACCGCTGGAAGTCCTCCAACCATGCCTCTGCCTCCTCTCTGGTGAAATATTGGAGCTTTAAAATGACTTCGAAACCTTCCTCCAGTGGTCTGTATGAGCACATGGAATGGCAGTACCCCTCTGGCAGAAGTTGCTGTTTAAATAAATGAAAAATTATTTTAAAATATCATTCGTAGTTTTTAAGTCAAACTTACCATGAACTCTTGATTTGCATTGTAGTAGAAAAAAGTACAGAGAACAGGGAGAGGCTAGATCAGGGGTCTGCAACCCTTACAACCCAAACAGCCGTTCTTCCCCTCAGTTCACTGGAATAAAACTGGTTCAGTGTTGAAAACACTGATAAATTTCTACAGAAGACTTGGGAAAAGGTTTTATTTCTGCCTATGAATGACTAAAAACTCAGTTTAAAATCTGAATTCTTATTTTTTCTTAAGTTGTTAATTTTTAACACATATTTTCTATTAAAGTGGCAGTGTTTAGTTTCCTGGCACTAGGGGGCAGTACATACAATTCAGGGTAGTTTTACACCATATCACAATGACAGTTGCTAGATTAAAAGAACCTTATGGTAAATGTTGTTACCTGTGGAGCAGAAACACTTTGATGGTCCTTCAGTTACTTCCATCGAGAGAATACAACGCCCATTGTAGCTTTCCCATGGTGTACTTTCTGGATCTGCTCGGGTTCTTGCATCTGCCGATGACTTCATCATACTATGGCAATACTGCTCGGACAAAATTTTTTGTTTTCGAATACGTTCTTTCACGTATGTTTCAGAAACAGTTTAGCAGTCTTGTTATTAAATTTGTGTTTCATACCACCTAAATATTTTTCAACGTGAAAAAGTAACTTTCATAAGTTGTACTTACAGCCAATCATCTAGTGTGACATCATCGACAGGCGCGGGACCCCAAGCCAGCCACAAGGAGACATGGCGTCTAATTTGGCGTCCCCCAAAGGGACTAGACCCACGCCCTATATACTTTAAACCCAACTTTTATGGTTATATATTACGAAGGGGTCAATATTTTTCAACAACTGGACATAATTTTATTCGTTTTCAACAACGTTCCAATGGATACTTCCAGAGATTACTGGTAAAAACAACACATTGTCTCTTTAAGTTAAGAAATCAAGAATCAGGAAAAATTAATAAAACATTTGCAAAAAATTGTTGTTTATTTTTGGAAAATCATTAAAAATTAATTAACCAGTCTAAAACTGGTACTTCTATGTCATTCCCTTATGGAAATTAGGGCTGGGCGATAAATCGGAAATGTATCGTTATCAAAACTTCTGACTCTTATCGAGATAATTGTTCCCATGTCAATAAATTTGATAGTAAAAAAATTAAAAGATGTGTGTAGGTTGGCAACATTCGTGTCCCTTTAAGAAGCTGTGCCGCCTTGAGCCACATAAAAGTGTGACTCAACATAATACATGCGACAGCCCCACCTAGTGGACAACTTTTGTCTCTGCGCATACCTGTAGTTATCATCCATTTATAGTTATCAAGGTAAACTCCTCAATATATCGTGATATTGATTTTAGGCCATATCGCCCAGCCCTAATGGAAGTTCAATGCAATTCCATAAAAAAATGAAAAGTTGCTTAAACCAAATACAAACGTATGCGTTAAATACCAAAGTAAAAAGGTATTTCACTGTACACCAAATAAAATCAACAAAAAACTAACCAAGTTAATCAATAAACTTAAGCTGTAATTGCTCACAAGTAGGGATGCACCAATACGATACTGGTATGGGTGCCGATACAGATACTGATACCAGTATCAGTAAAAGTTAGCAGATACCAGTAATTGATACCAATGCAGTTGCTTGAAAGTGACTTCACTGTAACTTGTCATTTCTATTCACCTAATATTTTAGTTTTGTGATCACTTTCACTTATATTACTTTTTATCTACCTCACAGTCTTTTCCTATTGAAAACAGAAGAAAATAAAACCTGTATTCCAATTCATTGCATTTTTTTTGAGTGGTAGAAGTATCTGTATCGGTAATCGGTATCGGCGAGTACTCAGATCCAAGTATTGGTATCGTATCGGTTTGGAAAAAAGTGGTATCGTTGCATCCCTACTCACAAGTAGCTTATTGAACAGGCATGTCCTCACTATTAAACCAAAATGAGTGCACTTGAAAATAAATAACAGTGTAATTTCCGCCTAGCTTTTAAAGAGAGCCAGGACAGACAGTTATACATGTGACAGTGATGGGTTCTCAAAGGACAACGCAAAACAAAACAACATTAACAAATAAAAATAACATTAGGTTTTGATAAATTATATGAGCAAAGTCTAGAATTGGAAATAAATCACTAAGTTCTTCCTCACACTTAAGTTAAAACTATTGATAGGTTTTTTTTAGGAGCAATGGACCTTATTTGAGATGGGTTGAATATGTAATCTAAAGGATAAAACAGCAAAATTTTTACTTTTGTCTGAAGAATGCAAATGCAACGAGTCCATGAAGGGTAATTTTGGAGCACCATATAAAGCCGAGTTAAAGATATTTCTATGCAAAAGCATCAGATGTTAATTGTGGAAGGTGCTAAGAAGGACCTCTTTTGGCTCCGGGGCCTCAGGTTGCAGACCCCTGGCTAGATCCCATCAGCACAATCAAAAAATAACCATTTCATTCTGGAGCTGCACTCCCTGACTTGATCCTAACCTCAAGATCCTCCGGTACGGCGTCCTCCAACTTCTCCTTTGCACAAACGTGACACCAGTGACACTTAGCATTCATGGCTGTATACACAAACAATTGTTATTACAAATAATATTTTACACACACTTAATGTTAATACACTAATCTTGTTATTTACAGTTTAAAACAGGGTACCAAAAATATATATACAAAAGAAACATACCCATCTTGAATTACAGTCAATAACCAAATAGACGCTAAGAAAAAATGACCACAAGGACCTTACAGATGTTCATTGATTTTACTGATCTGTTAGCAGATAGGGAAACACACATACAGGTGAAACTTGAAAAATTAGAATATGGTGCAAAAGTTCATTTATTTAAAAAGTGAAACTAAAATGCGACATGGACTCATTACATGCAAAGCCAGATATTTTGAGCCTTTATTCGTTATCATTTTGATGATTATTGGCTTATAATAGGGCTGGGCGATATGGCCTCAAATCTATATTGCGATATAATCTGAAGCATGTGCGGTAACGATATATATTGCGATATATTTTTTGCTCTGTTTACATGTTTGAAAATGACATGCTTTTAAATATCCTCATGTGGCAAATATATGCCACTTGAGGCACATAGGCCACTCCATGCTTGCAGTCACTGCCATTCTGTTGCCCCAATGTCAGCAGGGTGCACATCTTAGTGACGTCATGTGTTATCGCAATATTGCGGCATTGCGATATAGCCAAAAACTCTATCATTACCCAATTTTATATCGTTTCTACCTTATATCGTTTATATTGCCCACCCCTAGATTATAGCTTTTAAAAACCCTAAATTCAAAATCTCTGAATATTGTAAAAAGATTCAATATTCTAGGCCCAAAATGTCACACTCTGATCAGCTAATTAATCAAAACCACATGCAAAGGACTTTTAGATGGTTTCTTCGTCTGGTTGGATTACTGAAATCAATACACTTTTGAACACTATTCTAATTTTTTTTTAGTTTCACCTGCATATGTATATTCTTTTCTTATTTTCTGTGAAACTACAATGCAAATTACAACTCTGTTTTTTCAGCTAACATGAAGCAACTTGGGATGGACAAAAACAGGCTTCGGTTTCAATCGTTTTTCACTTCTATTAGGGGTAGACCGACATCTCGGGTGATAATTACCGCTTTTTAAACATCGGCACCAACCGATATTTGTCCTTAGTAAAGCCAATTTAAAGTCAGGCACATCCTCTGGCAGCCTGGTGCTGTTGCTGAAATTTATTTAAATGTACTTTTACGTTCACTAATAACATCTGCATGCTAAATACTCAACACTGACTTTATTTAGGTATCTGACTTTAACACTGAGCAGTGCACAGAGTTAAGAATTAACAGTTAAATTCAGAGTTCAAAAAAATGATTCAGCTTTTGAAATGTTGTTGTTAGTGACATTTTAGCATGAAAATAAGATGGCAAACGTCTAGATATCGGCCCATAGAAATCTGCAGTACATATCGACCATCGGCTGAACATGTCTCCTGCATATCAGCATTGGTATCAGCAACAGAAAAACCAATATCGGTCGACCTCTAATTTCTGTTGCACTTATCGTGATCTGGAGTTGTGCTAAGGCTCAAAACTGCAAACAATGCAAAATAAAAAATAAATAAATAAAATAAAAACACATCTGTCTGCCCCCTTCTCACACGCGAGCGCGCGCACTCACACAAACACAAACACTATGGCGACATACACACACTCCTCTGCACACCCCACTGCCACCATTACAGCCTCACTTCAAAACATTTCAGTTTTACAAAAGTAATTCCTTCCTATGACAAATATCCACTTGTCCCTGTGCGCTAGGCAGGCGAGCTAGCTGTCTAGCTAACATCGCTTGAGTAAAGTTAGCGTTAGCTCACGTTCTAAGACAGTAGCAATAACATTTACCTCTACACACGGACTCATTTACAACTTCTCCGTGATTCAGATCTGAGCCAGTGCGGGACTCCGGAAAAGAAGTCAAAACCAAGATGGTGTGTAACCGTTTTCAGAACGGTGCTGTGAATGCGGTAGCGCCCCCTTCTGGATAGGATGTTAAGTGTAATCAGTTTTTGTTTTTTTCTTGTCAGATTTTTGACTTTTTCATTTTTTATAAATTTGTGGCTTTTCATGTTGGGATCTGCGGTCAAATATTACGATTATAAGAAAATATTGCTTAGTAAATTTCTGCACAGTAGTTTATTACGTCTTAATACATAAAACATGTAAGGCAAAATGATTCAATTTTTTTAAATATTTTTGGCAAAATAGAAATGTTTGCACCAAGTTAAATCCAATTCTAACAAACTGATAATAATGGACACAATAACGTTAAACTAGATTTATTTTTATTTGACAATTTGAAACAAACAACCTTTGTGGGAGTTATCCTCCAATCACCTTGTCATGTCATGGAAATATTCTTATTAGTGTACTGCAGCGTTCACTTCAAATCCAACACATACACAATCTGAGAACCACATTTTATTTTAAATGTTCTGACATGGATGTGTCTTATTAAAGTCAAAACACAATTATGTTATAGTGTAATGTATTCATTCTATATCATACAGACAACATTTCAATTGGTTTTGACTTAACAGGCTGTTTGTACCATCCTAACAGCTTTAATTACAGCTACAGTAAAGCTCGTTTCATCTCAGAAATACAGGAATCTGTGCCAAAAGTAGCAACCTGTGATTTATGGTCTATTTTGCTCCCATCAGTATCAGTAGTAAATACAGCGAGTGTGGTGAATGGGAATGTGAGCCATCTCTTTGTGGTGCTCCTTGGCGAAAGGCCACAGGTAGAAGTCGATGACAGTGGCGTTGATGTCACAAGTCTGTCCATCTCTTTCCTGCACCAGCTTCTGAAGGCGTTCCTTGATCAGCTCCACGGACCAAATGGAACAACCTCGGATCTCAACTTCTCTCCGGTCTCCAGAAAGCAGCAGTTCACCTGAGAGAGATAAAATTCACCGATTTATTAGTATATGAGTTGTCCAGATTAGAGGATGGATGTTCTCCTGTCTCACCGTTCTTCAGTACTTGCATCAGCGCGTCCGAGTATCTTAGTACTCCCAAGTAGACGAGCGCCTGAGGAACCCTGTAGTCTGCAAACATGGTGAGCCAGTCCATGTTAGTGATGCTGCCCTCTCCCCGGGCCTCCATCACACCCCAGAAATCTGCCACTAAGATCTGAGCTCGCTTGTAGAAAGAGATCCTTCTGCCCTGAAAAAAGAAACAGCAGAGAAAAGCAAATATAAACCTGTTCTTGTGCTTGCAACTCTTCCTTTGGCCAGGGGGTGGAACTCTCAAATCACAATGTATTTCAAGCTCTCTATGTTAGAAATTTGAATATAAGAAAGTATCAAAAATTGTCTGGATCACTATTTTTTGCACGTCTCCACGTTTAATTTGCCTTCTGAACTCTGACCTCATACGTAGCCTCATCCCTGTAGGACGGGATCTTCTCCACAATGAGCTCCACCATCTTCTGGGCGTCATTTCCTGCCTGGCTGATGAAACTCCGAAAACTTCCCCCATGTTCCAGCAGTACGCGGCCGCCCTCAGTCAGAGCCTAGCTAGAAAGAGTCAGATTTAGCTACTATGATGAACTGAGGTAAGGAGCTATACTTCCAATTTCTCTTCTTATCACAGTAATGAAGCAACTGTAACGCTGCAAGTCTGATTAAAAAAAGTTGTTTTCTGAGTAAAAACATCAGTTTTATTTGCTAAATAAAATAAAAACATTCAGCAAAACATTAAAACTCACAAAACGGTGAAAAAACTAGTGAAAGAATGTGTTAATTTAAGATATTAGTTTCGTAAAATAAAAACACAAAAGCAGAAATATGTCAGGTGTAAACCTTTAGAAAAAGTCAGGGATACTTAATCATTTCTATCATCCAATATAACATTATGGGTTAATTTACTGTCATTAACAATAAAAAAACACAAAAGTACTTCTTAATACAAGATTCCATTGTTTCCCTTTAGTGTAGAAACCAGACATTTTAACTATTATTATTGAAAGAACAGCATTTTCCAATAACAACTTGTTTGAATCAGATCCTGCCTACAAAACGGAGCCAAATAATATAAAATTACAAAAAGCTAGACATGGTTTATTTTCTATCACCTAGTTTTTGCAAATCATTTTATCTTGTTGCTGCAATTGGCTCAGATGGCAGAGTCAAAACAATTCCTTTTCCTTCCCTAGCTGAAATATATCGATCAGGATTATTTTAGGCAATACATTCTCACTCCCAGCGCGTCAAAAACAAACGCTTGGTCAGCCACCCTCCGCGTCAGACCCCTGACGCCAAAAGTGCCCTTTTTCGTTACTTATGCGCAAAAAGGGTTTTTTCCCCTTTTCTGTCTGCAGATCCTAATGCAGCGTAAAACTGACGCGATGGGATGCCCGCTGATGCGACACCGAACCAGCTCATTTAACCGCACCTAAACCTTAACGTTTTACTATTAATAACCTTCCCCTCATCCTAACCTTAACCCTCCTGCTACCTAAAACGTTACTCTCACTGTGATCAAGCGTTTGTTTCCCATGCATTCTGACTGAGAATTTTCCTATTTGCCGCCCAAGGGGAACGTTACAACATACCATCTGGTGAGGGGGAGGTTACAAATACCCTCTACTTTTAACCTCCACCGTGGTAGCTGAAACCTCCCCCTCGCGTTGGCTCGGTCCAAACCCGACCAATGACGAGGCGGCTCCCTCCGTTCACTTCATAGAGCCGGCTTTTAGAGCGACCGACACATCACTAATGTGTTCGCTAGCAAGATGGTTAGGGTTAGGATAGGGGTGAGGGGAAGGTTAAATAAGAGGATACGGTTAGGGTGAGGTACAATGAGCTTGTTTGGTGCCCTGGTTGCGGACAACCCATCGCGTCAGTGTAATGCTGCATTGGGATCTACAGTCAGAAAAGGGAAAAAACCCTTTTCGCACATAAGTGACGAAAAAGGGCACTTTTGGCGTCAGGGGTCTGAGGCGGAGGGTGGCTGACCGAGCGTTTGTTTTTGACGCGCTGGGAGTGAGAATGTGTTGTTTTAGGACCTGGTGGCGCTCCTGAAGCATGGGCATGGCTGTTTCATTGTCTGATCGAAGGACAAGTCCCAACTCCTCCACGCTCATCTGGGAGAAGTACTTGGGATCAGTAATTGGTACACCTGTGGAGAGTGGGAATTAATGTAAGAAATGTGCTGTTGACAAACGTATACAGTCTCACGGTCTCAATTTCTTCACATTAGACTCGATGACATCATTAGTTCTGCTCTCATGCTGTCGGGCCCTTGAGAATCACACTCTGGCACAAGGCTACCTGCGTCGTTCTGCGTGAATGTCTCATAGTTATAACGAGCACAACAAGAAAGCCAATTCATAAGAGACAAAACTGATTCAGATCCGGAGTCATTCATGCTAATTGTAAATGATGCTCAGGCTCAAGAGAAGCTTCAAGCAATTTCCAAGAAACCAGAGCTTAAAGAGCAAGTCACCCCCAAATCAAATTTTTTTGCTGATAAACTAAATAAACGAGTGTCTAATCGCGCTACAGACACGTGTCGTCAATAATTTGGCAGTTCAGTGCATCTTGGTTAAATTTTAAATATTCTGCCTAAAACTGTCAGTGTTGTGCCGTTGTCAGGTAAAAACTCTGAACTGTATTTGAATTAAAATCTGCCACCGCTATTGGCTAAGAGGTATGCTATGATGTCATCTGGTACATTATGATGTCATAATGCCATTGTGAGCGTGTGTGTGTATTTGTTAGCAGCTCCGCCCTCTCGGTCTGCCAGGCAACAGCATTTGTTGAGTTTCTCAAACAGGAAGTGGGAGTGGAGTTAGACTCTGGTAGGGGGTGACTTGCTGAGTCTAACTCCACTCCCACTTCATGTTTGAAAAACTCAACAAATGCTGTTGCCTGGCAGACCGAGAGGGCGGAGCTGCTAACAAATACACACACACACACACACAGGCTCACAACAGCATTGTGACATCATAATGTACCGGTTTACATCATAGCATACCTCTTAGCCAATAGCGGTGGCAGATTTAAATTCAAATACAGTTCAGAGTTTTTACCTGACAACGGCACAACACTGACAGTTTTAGGCAGAATATTTAAATTTTAACTAAGATGCACTGAAGTGCCAAATTATTGACGACACGTGTCTGTAGCGCGATTAGACACTCGTTTATTTAGTTTATCAGCAAAAAAAAGTTTATTTGGGGGGTGACTTGCTCTTTAAGTGAAGGACATCAATACAATAACGAATGTAACGAATTTGTTCATCAAGGAGTGGGGTGCCAGCCAGGTTTCTCTCCTAATATATAAGATCAAGTACAGTGATTAGTTAACCTTGATGTATACAAAATTCCGACGAAGGATGCAACATAGAATAGTCTGCACCCTTCTTCTTCAAAGGAGAACTTAAACCAGAAATTACTCGATCATCAACTCACATCACACACCCAACAACATACAACGTAAAAGCTTATGGGTCCTCCTCACTAACCAGTCATTCGTGTCAGCGACGGGGAAGCCACCAATACCCGCTCCGTGCTCGGCGGCACTCTCACAGTCAAACTCAGTATTGTTCTTATTCACGGAACCCGACTTTCTCCCAACGGGTCTCGTGGTTCTCGCAGAAGGACGTAAGCACTGGGTTCCGACAGGCCCGACTCAGAAGTGGAACCCAGGCGAAACAGCTGCGCTTCCCACCTAAACGGCCATCCCGTTCTCTTAATGTCCACTGTGGAACGGTGTTCTTGTCTCTCCTCCGTTTTGTCATTTTTTCCACAAATATTCTCGTTATTTTTTCAACACTACTCGTTTCTATTAATCCTCCCTTTTTCGCTGGTCTGTGTCTCTCCCTCTCACTGTCAGCGGGGCAATCAGACACACCTGATAGGGTCAACCCCCCCCCTTTTTAAAGACGCGCTCGCCACAGAGGAAATGACATATGGAAGCAGGTAAGACAAAAATAAAATTAAATAACCAGACTGGCAAACTGCCACACCGTCTATAATAAAACTATTTCTTATTTATTTTACACAATAATTTAAAAGTAAATTTAAAACAACTTGTAATATACTGTATCTTTTGCATCACATCCTGTTGTCAGTCACAAATCTTTTATTTCTGCATAATTGAAAAAAAAAAAGCTACGTTCTTCACATAACTGCATCTTACAGCAGATTAGGTTAGACGTTCTCATGCTGCATCAGTTTACAACTAAATAAGCACATCTCAGTACTTAGTACTATAGTGGGGCGCTCTCACCTTCTTCCACGGCCCTGGTGATGGAGGCACACAGGGTCATGTAGCCCGTATAAGTCGTGCCTTTATAGGTCACCTCACACTGCTCAGCTTCCTTCTCAGGCCAAAAGGAGAAGTTCATGGTGTCGACCACAAACACCCAGTTTAAGGCCTGCAGTGAGAAAATGCACAAACCATTAAAAAAAAAAAAGCAAATAGAAGGTAATCTTCTCAAGGGCTACAGAAAACACATTTAATCAATATATTTGCGGTGGTCTCTGGTAGGAATGAATGCCTTGAAAGCCGTACTCAGGGCTAAAAATAGCACTGAAACTCCTGTTTCAGCACATACAAGCCTGTCACATCAGAAGAGGGCTTAACATGGCAGGACTTAGTCTTATTTCCTGATATTTGGACTTCTTGGATTGGATGACAGCAACTCGACTCGACCACTAACTCTGTTTGCTCTGCAACATGGATGTTTAATCTCCACAAATGACACATGCCTGGAGGAGCTTCTGCCATGTGGCAGAGTTGCTAATGCTAACGGTTAGCTTCTGCTAGCCCAGACGTTCTCTGTTGTTTCTGGAAGCTAAACCAACAAGAGCCATCTCATATGGGTGAACCAAGGGACCGTTTGATGTCGATCTTTCAGGCTTTTCGAATCCTTGCATTTCACCTATCAGAAGCTAATGCAGGAAATAGATGTAGGAGACTATTTTCATGTAAAGCCTGCATGAAAAACTCAAGTGACCAATTATAATCAGAAATAATCATTAAAAAAAGTTTTTCAGTGAACCATACCTTAATGTTTTTGTCACACAGTAATCTAGATGTTCTCTAAACCTGGAGAATATTTCTTTACTTTTTTTGTATTTTCTAATAGATTTTAGTCAGGGTGAAAATGATTATTTTAAAGGATAAATAACAGTGATTAAGTTCTTCTTATTAATTGTTGTTATATATCATGCTATTTGAAATCTTTGAGAGCAAAGGTAGGCACAGTATATAATAAAATATTACTGTTGGCACTATTGAGATGTTGTTTATCTTAAACACAAGTTCGTTTCATCCGCTTTAAATTACTTTAGTTTAACTGCTAAAACACCCAGCAATACTTTAATCAAGAAATATCAATTCAAATGTCTCTTTTTAGTTAAGAGAAAAACAACTAAACTTAAACCAACTTTAAAAAAAGACCATTCTCATCAAATATCTTTCTTTCTTCATACCAAGATTTATATGTGATATAAGACTACACTACACAAATACACATTTCTAACATTTTATCATGTCCATATTTTTAATCAGGATCAAGAAAAATTATTATTCTACTAAACCTTCTCCAACCATATTAGATTTTCAAACAGTGGATCTGAATATTAATCAAAATATTTTTATTTTTAGCGCAATAAGAAGAAATACCCCATCTTCTTAAAATTACTTCACCTACATTTTAGTACAATTTATAAACCTCTACTTTATTTTTTTATTATTTAAATGCAGCTTAAATTTATTGATCAGTTTGTTAAATAACTTACTTTTTCTTCAACATATTTGACATTTTCTAATAATTTTCATTACTCAAGGAAGTTTACTGGTTTTACAGTTTCATGACTAATCAGTCGCAACACAAATTATTAATAATGCACCTTATTTCATTGATTTTACACATGAAAAAAATCATGAAATGTTTCTACTCTTGACGCTTTATGAACTCCCCTGGTCTGATGTTGGCAACAGAGCCAATGGATTTGCCTTCTTCCATCCGCTGGCTGTCAGGGCTTCACTGTGTCGGAGGCGGTAGAGCATCTCCGCCACCTCCTGCACTCCTCCTTCCTCAATAAACACATCTCGACTGTGTTCTGACACAAACTGCCCTGACTCTCTGGGACACAGAGGTTTCTCCATGATGGGTGGAGCAGATAAACAACTGGGGGGAAAAAACACACATGAGCAACAATCATTCATAAAATATGCATGAATGCTAATGCAGTGAGCAGGTGAAGCTGTGGAAATGGAAAATTAAGATGCCTCCTGGCATTTTCATACTCATTAGTTTGCTAAATAGCCTTGTAGTTAAAAATGTACAAAACTCAGAGGCAGGATCTGTGCTCCTGTTGTGTGAGTTTAATGGCTGTGCCCTTTTCATAGGGAATCTTCACTAACCTTCTACAACCTACAAGTACATCTCAAAGGAAGTGCCACCCTTCCTATTTTATTAGGGAATGCACAAAGAAACCCTGGACTGAAAACTGACAGTGTGTGTTGATAAGCACAGGCCCAGCAATTCAATCTGAGGGAACATGCTTGTACATAAGACAAGATACAAAAAATTATGCAATTTAAATATGCAATTAGATCTCAAATGAAATCCTAAAATTGTATGAAATATGCATAATCTGTTACATTTTATCCGCTTTTTCAGCATGTGTGTTGGTCCATCATAGACAGACACATATGTGGTCCAATACTTTATTTTCAAAATGTTTTACAGTTGAGGATTTTTTTTTTATTTAGGCACGAAACTAGGACACCTTTTTGCATGTAGTGTCCACCGTGGATACGTGTTGATAACGTTACACCGAAACAGTACATTGAATCACGGTCAAAGTGCAGAAGCATACATACGCTAGTTTGGGTTGATTTTTTGGAGCAACTACTTCACAAACAAATATTTTGATCAATAAATGATCATATATTCAGCTTTATTGACATGAACTTACTGTTCAACCGCACGAAACAGGCGAAAACTAACCGTGAGGAACCTAAGCGGTGTCTTGTTGCAAAAGGCTCTGGCTTGAAAACCACCCCCAGTCGACTCGCTCCAGTCCCAGCCCTTTACCAATCAGAGTTCCGTTCACAAGCTCGTGACTTGCACACCAACCAATCAAAGCTCTTCATAAAAAAAGGAAACTGCTCCACACGTTAACGAATTTAGCATATTAGCAAATACCAAAAGCGCTAACGCAAGTTTAGTTTAGTTTTGAAATACGTGGAGAACGAGGCGACAAAACAATAACTCATAATAGTAAAATATGATAGAAAATGTTAGATATGCAATTTTATGGTTGTCTAAAAAAACTTAAGTATAATCCGAATACAAAAAAAACCGTATTTGGAAAAAATGTCTTTAGTAAAAATAACTGCAGAAACAATATCAAAATTGTCCGCTCAAGAAACAGTATTCAGTAAAAAGTGGCATCTTTATTTCTCTTACAACATGAAACCCACATAATGGTGAGCAAACAGGAACTCCCAGGGACAAAGTAGAAATGTTAATTTGTCAAAGAAACAAAAAAAAAGACTTAAATCTTTAGCCATCAACACAGTTTTACAGTTGAGGTTATTCAAATGTTTCAGGTTTTATTTTGTTACACAACTCCCAGCATAAATCAACTCTACACATTTTAAGTCCCAAGAGTTCTTGAGGGAAAAAAATCTTACATTCTGCATGTTGAACAGTGGTAATATGGCATTAACTGAATGTGAAAAGGCAGACTACAGAAGGCAAAGCAAACCTCACATACCCAACAAGCACACATGTACACAGACATCAATTTAGCCATAAATGAAATCCAAAAATAAAGGTTGTTTATTTTCATCTGTGGGAAGTCTCACATTTGAAAAATCGGACAAACTACGTAACTACACACTAAAATGCAGGTAATCTACATTTTCTTCAATGCACAGGAATGTTGGACATCTTATTAAAAATACAAAAATAAAATAAAAAAAGACACCACCAATCCAGAGTAATAGTCTGAAGGGGATGTTCAGAGGAAGAGGGAAGTCAATCTGAGTAGTCTTGATCCAAGCCTCCTGGATCTACAGCAAATGACCAGAGTACTGCTTCACACTGTAATAAAAACAACACAAAAATGAACAAACTGGGAAAGATGAAATTAACCCAAGAGTGACAGTATAATTGTATGGCTGCGCGAATATGGCAGAATGGAAACTTGAGAGAAAAGGAAGATCTGATGAGTGAGGAAGAGCAAGAGAAAATAGAGGTATGGTTAGTTCTTATGTCCAAACAGGTGTGGTACATTGAAAGGGGACAACAGGAAGGAAGAGGCAGGCATGGTTAGTTACCATGGCAACACTACACTACTCATGAGACAGATCTACAGATGTATTAGCGTTCGGAAAAGGCTTAGATGGCATCAACAAGGAAGTAGTGTGTATTATACGTGCCTACTGGTTGCCAAGGGAGACAGAAGAGGAGGAGCCTGTGCTATTTGGCAGACTGTGATTTGTTGTCATTTAATCTAACTAAAAACAACAAAATCACTAGTCTTCCACACAGCAGCAGCCAGGGGAAGAATCAATCCACTCCCTCCTTCACAGTGAAACGGCTTTGATGGCAAATAGACATTTTTGTTCTTTATTTTCTCTTTATGAATTACATTCCCTGGACAAATACAAGTCAATGCAAATTGTTACTCAATCCTTGTTAAAATAAATAAATAAAATGTGCTTTTATCAAGTATGCCTAATCCTTCACAGCCATTTCATGTAAGAGGAAGGTTTGAAGTAGTTGAAGGTTGCATTGGGGAGAAAGGAAGGGGGTTAGTGAAGAGACAGCAGGCAACAGAACTACATAACACAGTATTAGGATGAGATTTCAGAGGGCTTCGTCAAATTTATCATTTCATTTTCAAAGGAAATTACAATAATTGTCAATTATTTTAAATTGTTTCTAGCATGTCTGCACTACAAGGCTACGGTTTTTGAGCACTTTATAAGTAATTTCAGCTCAGTTTATAAGTTCCTTTAAAATTAATTTTTTGGGGAATATTTTAAACTGTTCAAATATACAGCCATAGTTAAAAAAGATGCTGGATGGCACAAATTAAAGAGAAAATACTAAAACCAGAACACTGTCGTGAGACATTCAATGTCTCCTGAGAACACAATGACTTGTTTAGGAACCTGCCTGTTCTGCAGAAGGTACTGGGCGTTCTGGATCTGGTCTTGGGTGCCAGTAATGGTAATGATCCGGTCTTCTGAACCTTCCAAAGGTTCATCAATCTTTATGGAGGCTCCAGACTCATGGCGGATCTGTTTGATCCTCTGACCCCCTTTACCAATGATGGAGCCAGCCAACTGTTGGTGAAGAGACCCAAGGGGGAAATGGTGATCAAAGAAATAAAAAATAAAAATAAAAAAAGCACCCAAAATGTGGCGCTTTAAGACATGGAAGATCAAACCAGAGTGAACCCTGACTGGTAAATAAGGTCAGAAAATAAATGTTTCAAAGATAAAAAGCATTCAAAACATTAAATCTTATCATTTAAATATTTTGTCATTTACACAACATGTGTGCTTTTATCAAGTGCTGGAGAATGTAGGCTAGGTGTGAGACATCGATAATCACTCCACATCATGATTAGGTGTAGTACTCTTTCAGTTCGAAGTGAGAGAAAATATATTCCTTCAACTATTTTATATCAGTTACTCACATCCTTAGGGATGGTCACTTGTGTGGTGATAACAGGACCGCCCATGTCATTATAGGAGCCACGTCCGCCTGACGGCAAGAAGGAAAGGTCAAAACCAAAACACACAAGCCAAATTAACAGTCTAGAACAAGTAGCGTAGGATGGTCAGACAAAGAAATTCACTTATTTGATCACTTCCAAAAATCATTACCCAAAAAAAAAAAAAAAAATTAAAATAAATAAATAAAACTTGATCATCCTTTCTAAGCTAGAGTCAAACAATAGATGAGAATCACTATTGGCAAAAGCTTGGTTGGATTGCAAAGATGCCAAGTTGTAGTAAAACAATGTGCTGCCTGTATCCTACACTATCAGATGAGTCACTCAGCAAGATGGCAGAGAAAGAAATGAAGGGGGGTAGTGGATTAAAAAAATACATACAAGTAAAAAAGAAAAAAAATATCAATGCACACGGTCTACCGATGACCCTACCCACAGCACACTACCGTTTCTCTTTTCCCCACCAATACAGTCATCTTTCATGGATACATGCAAGATTAATAATCTAAGAGCTGGAGGCTGCGTGAGTAAACTCACTTGACTGGTAGCTATCCCAGGAGGAACTGTTGTCTGAGCAGAAGAAACAAACACATTTAATAATAAACAGTAAGACCTTTATTAAAATGGCTGAAGTAGATTAAGATATACAACCCTGTATGCATTCGTTATATCTATTAAAACTACTTCATCCTAGCTTGTCGTAAAATGCATCAGTAAAACAAAAACCTATCCTTTATTTAAATAAAATGTTTCAAAGAAAGAACATAACTCCTGTCTTGGTTAAATTCATAAACAGTTGTAATTTGCTGCTATACAGCTGGATGGATGTCCAAGGCCTTTATCCTTACACACGCAACAGTCTGTTACCACATTCTTAAAAAGTCAAGAGGAAAAAAAAAATGGAATTCAGCTTAGCACTCACCATATCCGCCACTCTGCAAAAGACAAACGGAGACACAGCCGTGTTAGTACAACCCATCTGAGTCTTCTACACAGACAGACAGAGGAGCAGGCATGTGTGCAGCAGTGTTGCCCATGGAGTAGACTCAACTAAAGCCACCCAGTTTTCATCCCCAAGACAGACTCCTCCTCTTTCCCTCCCTCCATCCCCCCATTTTTAGCTGCTGCTGTTACCAGGGCAACAGGAGATTCAAAAAGCTGTTGCTGAGCAACGGCAGGCAGTATCCTGCCAGGTCTCATGGAGAGAGAGAGAGGGAGAGATAGAGGGAGAAAGAGACCTTCCAGTCTGTCAAGAAAGCATTATTAGTGCTTAGCAACCAACCATGGCCACCTCCACCCTCCCAACATCCCCTCTCTCTTTGCAGGAAAAACAGGCTGGCCATGAAATGTACACAGTAAGAGAGGAATTACAGCTGGTTATTATGGGGTGTCTCTGGCAGAGGTGATTATGGTCATTTGGTGAGATGGTTTGCACCATGCAAAACCTGGCTAGGGGCTCAGATGAGTGCATGCACATGGATGTTCTCAAGCAACCAACTATGCCTGTATTCCCAATAAAGCACAATATAAAGGCAGGACAATGGACAATCACAGCACTATGTCAAGTGCTAGGAGCGACTAGACTGCTAGCTTGAGGACACTCGCACCTAATCAGATGCTAGTATCAAGGCTGCATGTATTTAGCAAAGGGTCACTAACCATGCTATCGCTGTAGCGATCCGGTCTGCCTCTTCTGTCACTGGTGACGGGGAGAGGAACGCAGCCAGAGAGAGAGAGAGAGAAAAGATGTGGGTTGGGAGAGAAAGAAATAGAAAATGCCAAGAAAAAATATTCTTGACAACATTCCACAAAAAATTTCTGGTCTAGGTCAAACTGCACACACGCTGAGCAAGATTACAGTATAAACACATTTTCTCTCAACCATCTTCCCACACAGTAACAGGAACAGCTCTGACAGTGTTATGGTGAGAGGAGTGACAGGTGGTGGTGATTCTGATCAGAGCCAAGGGCTGCTGTTGCTTCCCCCCTAAAGACTCAAACCAAATAATGGAATTAGCGCT